TGAGTTGCCTATTAGTATCAGGAATTCCCAATCCCTTGCAATATTTAAAAGTAGTGTTGAAAATTTTTTACTTACGAAACGTACTGATTCTACATGAATTTAAATATCTTACTTTTTTTTCTTACTTTATCCTTTCCACCTTTTAATGAAAGTTTGATGTTTTATTTATTCTGTTGTAACATAGTGTTTATATTTTATTGTCTTATAGTTGTGATTTGTGTTTATTGTATATATACATTGTATATGTGTTATGGAGAAGGCCCCGAGGAAGACTAGTGCTTGCACTAATCGGGTTACCTTCTATAAATAAAGTATTATTATTATTATTATAAAATAGCCATTTATTGTGAGAAGTCTTTGATGACTGGATAGGAAACCACTGCTTAAAACACTGTTTCTTTTTTTTCAGCAAGTGAGATGGGTCCATCAAGAATATCATTGTCCGGGTTGGGTTTTTGTAATATTTAGCTATCATTTTATTCTCAGTTGGATTGTTATCAGGGAAGTGCATTTTGATAAATGCCCTATTATTAGCAGATCCATACAGGCTAGAGTAAACAGGTTTGAATCCCCAAGAATATAATGCATCAATACAGGTCCAAAATGTATGAAAAATATCAGCAGGTGGTGCTTGTGTGTTTGGAAATTTTGCAAAAGGCCATCTGAACCCTGTGAATCTAGTAAAAACAAATTGTAAAACATGATTTGCTAATTCCTAACCAGTCTTTCCAGTATTTAATAATTGCATTTGTTTAACAGGATCCCCACTCTCTGCAAGGCCTATGAACTTAGTTTTATTTTTAGTGTGTATATTAAATTTGTAGATCCTCTTGTATCATCATTTCATCTAAGATCAAACCACCATAATACCCTGTCATTGTTATGTTTTGAGATTTAGCCTCATTACTCATCCATGACATCATATCATCAGATATTCCAGGTCTTTGATGAACTGCATTTTTGTACCTTTGCAATAGAGATTCACATGGTAAGTTTAACCAATTACTCTGAATTAAATCCCTGTAAGCTGCTGAATTTCTATTGTACAGACTTAAAGCCATGCATATGACATCTTTGTCCTACCTCATTCCATATTTACTTGTACTAGAAGCAGTTATTTGAGAAAGCATCAATATTAATTGATTTTGCTTCAAATTTGGAGCCAATAATTTCAATTTTTCCAAAGTTTCTTCCTTTGAAATTTGGCAAATATTTTTTTATCAGACATTTTTGTTTTGCAGTAGCAGTTTTTGTTTTAAAATAAATATTTGGCATTTTTCACATATTGATGATCTTGATTTTAATTGATTAAAATGCATGTAGTCTTTGTATCGCAAAATTGTCATTGTTTTACCATCTCGCCTACAAATCTCTTTGGTACAGTTTGAAATTTTTGCATATTTGTTTTAATCTCTTGATATATCATAACCTTGACATGGAAAAATTACTTTCATGCTTCGAAATAATGCTGGAACAGAGGTTACGTTTACATGTACTTCTATCTCTTGTGTAATGTATTGTACAAAACTATTTATTTCCTTATCATCTAAAGAAAATGATATTTTGTTACTTCTGTTGATTGTTAATTGCATAAAAGGATTCCTTCCATTAAACTGAATGTCTAGAAAATGACCAAATACTATTGCTTCTGCCTCTTTTTTCAAAACAAACCAATCACCTGGCATCATGTTTAATACCGTATAACGGGTATTTTCTGCCGTTGTCCAATTTTTGCGCAATTTTGCGGATAGGACAAATCTGCAAAAATTACAATCGCAAAATATTTTTCAATATTCATTCAGATATTTTGTACATGCAATTATGATAAGTGGTGCGTATGTCTGACAGGGTTCTCATTAACGCAAGAACCTGCGTACTGGACGCAGTAAAATTATTAGTCCCCTACCGGTGAAACCAGAGGGGACTATAGGTTTTTTGGAATGCAAGGTTATTTAAAAATCGTCCGCAGACTCATGAGTGGCCACATCCTCGCTAGCGAGAAAATACGGGTGTCATCGAAATTCGAAGATTTTAGATGTCAGGATTTGTCCAAAACATACTGAATCAAAACCTTCCTGTAGATAATAATAATTAAATAAGTTTATACAAAAAATATTTTCTTGTACCTATTTCGCAAATATTAGTCCAAACTCCGATAGCTGCAAACAACACATGGTAGCTTTTCTTTTTTAAACATTTTTTTTTCAATCTTTTATATTTTATATTGAGACAAAAATTACTGCTTGTATACACAATGTGGCTTGATTGTCTTGTGAATTTCACCTTAGAATGCATACGACGACAGGATTAGTTACGCCTCAATGCACATGGCACCTGTGATTTTTAACCGTCAACTTTGGGGTACTAGATTATGCAACTGTTTGTTTTAGCATAAAATATAAACACCAAATTAATTTTGATGGCAGTTAATTAGAAATTATTTTAGAATATGGCTTGGATGCATTTATTATCATTATCTATATATTTAAATATTTTAATAGATCGCATAAAACGTCTGTTAGAATAAAGATTTGTATTGTTGTTTGAGTGGAGTGACACTGCATTAATTCATTTCAATTGGTACACGAAATATTTTTACAAAAACTAACTAAAAGATAGTATTAAGCTTAATAGCTGAATACCAGTTCTCATGCACCTTTGATCAATATGTCTTAATGAATTTATAAAACCTAAACATGACAGCGTTCTGATAATTCATAAAGTTTAGTGCATGATCATACCCCGTAAAAAAAATTTTGCGGTATAGTGCAACCGCAGAAATTAATTTGCTACCTTTTAGGGGTTAAATCGCAAAAATTCCCAACCGAAAAAAATTACCATTATACGGTATATATTTTCAAATGATACTGCAGTCTTATCAATGTAAGATGCAAGCGCAATATTCTTGCAGCTTTGCATTGGTTTTCCACATATTTTGCTTCTTGTTTTGGATTTCACAGCATTGGGAAAAAGTTTTAAAATCAATCTATTGATAATTTCGGGATATTTATTTCCAGGAATACTCTCATTTTGAAATGTGCCACATATTGCTTGAAGACTTAGGGTTCTGCCTGGAACTTCAATGATTTTTTCACATATCCTGTAAATAAAAATTATTAGTCCTAATTTCAATTTGTATGCTTGAACAGATGTACACCAGAGTTCTCTCCAGACAATTATCATTATTTGCTCTTTATTTCTACATGTACCTTGCATCATTTTGTTTTACATTTTCCTGGTTTCTCTTTAAAAGTAAAATTATTGTGCTTCAACATACGAAAAACATATAATCTGTAATTTTGTGTGAAATTCATAAAAATAATTTGAAATAAATTGATCAGTAATTTTAAAACCTTCAAATTTCTCGGGAAAAATACTGTATGGATGAAAAAGAAAAGAAAGAAATTATTAATGTGATTACAAAAATACTACAATTAAAAGTTTTAACTGTTCAAGAAGGAATTAATGTAAAAATTTACAGTCACCAGACATTACAAAAAACTTTGTTGACAGCATTGATTAACAGAAAGCTTGTAAACAATATCGTTTAATTTTTTGATAAAAAGAGTTTCTTCTCATTAATTTTGTTGCTTTGTTATCATTTTTGTAAGTTACAAAAAGTACTATTTATATACTTCATAGGCTTGCCTCTTATGCAGAATTTTTTAATGCATGCAGTACGACATGTATTCAACACAGCGAGGACCTCATTTTTTATAAACATGTTTTTAAGATACTGTGAACAAATTCAGAATCAAATCATTATTACTGCATATAAAATGATTTTTAACTATATAAATATTCTTCATTAATATAAAATTTTATGAGAGGGGATGGGGGTCACCATGCCCCTTCTCCAGTCCTATGACTATGCAATTGCCCCTCCATCAATTCCCTGTCACTACAACAGTGTTCTATTTGAGACAAAATTTCTGTTCTTTACACAATGAATCATTATTAGGGGAGCACCTTTACTTTATGTAAAAATCATAGTTTTATTACTTGTAATTTTAATAGTTCACTGGCCTTTGCATAAATAAAGTAAATTATATATTCTACATTTCTTAAAAAATACATAAATGCCTTACTTATAGACTAACAGGTCACATTTCATGGTGTGTTTTTTCCTCTGTTTGGATTGCTCTAGATTTTACCTTTTCATTCTAAAGTTTCTTGTGTTATCGTACACACATATACTGAGGGGTAAAAAAAGTTGTTTTATTTTAACAAAGTTTGGTTACCTTAATTTTAGTGTAATCAGTTTCTAAAAATTATATTTATTATAAAATTGTTACCATTTATTTTTCACTAGCAGATTGTTTTATTCTTATAAGAGATATTTTGTCCGTAAAATGCAAACCGGAAGTAGATGTATCCCATCCGAGGTCTTAAAACGTGTCGAAGTAATTATCGATGAATAAATGAGCAGTTTAAAACAAAGGGTCTTTATTAGAGAGGTCTGAAACGATTTATTTAACAAGAAAAAAAGTCTCTCAAAGCGAACGATGTCATTTGAAAGTAGGTTTATGATTGATATATTAACAAAATACAAGCTTGAAGCGGGGGTGCCTGAAATTGAGTTAGGTACATGTATCTTGTGGTAAAAATAAGTAGGGGGTGCCCCGTATACTAAACAAGTGCCTGTGAAATGCAGTAATTGAAAACGAAACTTGGAAAAGTGTTTACATGTACTAGCTGCAATTTTCTTCTACGATAATACATCTAAAAAAACATAGATGGCATGCTTTGAGTTCAACATTACATGTCTTTTTTCTGTGTAACTTCGTTAATAAACCAAGGACGCTCCCAATCTAATTACGTGAATGAAATGATAAGTATAGGGAGTGTCGAACTTCACGCCATTTGATTTAGAAACCTGCGTTATTAACATTATTATACAATGAGTGTAAATTACGAGTAATTCGTGCATGAGTTTATTATAAAAATCACTCGCATAATCTCTAGCAATCCTTGTACTATCCACAGATAGTGTCACCCACCTTTCTTAGTGAGAAATACCGTAGAAATCCCGTTGCCACTAAGAAATTTATTGTCAACCAGCACGCAATTATATGACGTCATATCCTTCTCCGTGACATTACCGATTGTGAGAGTTGTCACCAAATCGTCTCCTTCTCTGGAAGTAAACGAACAAGAAATAGTGAATAGAAAGAACTTTCCTTTTAAAGTCCTAGAGCAATATAAACTATAAAGACCAAAGATCAAGTCACTATCAACACACACAGGCAAAAAAAATATAAGGGCAATAAATTTCGTGTAAATGAGTCAGTCGATATAAAACTCGAACCTGGGGCCGTTTCATCAAAGGTCGTACGCCCAGTCGTAGCGCTACGCCGGCGTAAAGTCGGGACTAGCACAAAGATTTGCGTTTCATTAAATAGCGTATCTTTACACCGGACTAAAGTTAGGCCAAAATTTTACGTCTACCCATGGGTAGGCGTAAGTTCGAACGAAAACATAAAATAAAGCGACTTTACTGATTTGAAAACGATTTAGCCATTCTTTAAGAATAATTACGGTTCTAGGAAGTCTTTTTTAATACAAACGACGCATAATTTAATTTCACAAACTATGAAGATTTGGGGGAGCGGAAATTAGGGAGGGGGTACACCAACTAGGGGAGGTACAAACGTACAAAATCTAGAGTAAAGTAAATGAGAATTGAAATGATCTTTGACCCCTGTTTAAGATTTAAGTTAGTACATTGGTAGGAAGAACCATCTTTATGAAGATTAGGAATTGAAGGAAAGGACACCCCACCCCGCGATAAGATTTAGAGGTTTGGGAAAGAAAATTACGATTTTTAGATCAGGTTGGGAAAGAAAATTACGATTTTTAGCATGTCAACAAGTTTCTCAGATGGAATTTTTGTTTACTGATGACTCTGCCCCCCTCCCCCTCTCCTTTGAAAAAAAATCACGGACCTGCACCTGCGTCCAGAAAAAGTTGTTAACGTTCAAAAGACGAAAAAGATTACGTAAATATACTTGAAAGTTAATTTTTCCTGACATTGAATACAAATTAGAGAGGATTTTATCTGAGGGACTAGGGGGCAACAAAGTCACTCGGTAGATTATGAGAATCAGCTGTTAGACAAACTTGACTCGGAAATGACTGTAATTTTACAATTATTATGGCCATGTATGACAATATATTACTGTTGAAACAGTGAATGATAAATTTCTGAAAATTTCAAAATGAATATCGATGGTACTTGCCTTTCTTTATCGCTAAAAAATAAAAAGAATCCGCATTTAATTTAATTTAATTGTATGTATGTCACTTTGTAATTTTAATGTTATAAATTCTAATACACATATGTTAAATTACATGTAATTAATCTATTCTCAGTTCTTAAATTATGTTTATTTGCGTTTTATTGTACAGCGTTTTAGAGTAATTTCATTAATATTTAGCGCTTTATAAATTTATTTTATTATTATTATATTTATTATTTAAAAAAATAAATACTTCAATTTTTAGGAACAAACGGAATGGCGTACAAGGTAATGTCATAGAAGAAATAGAGAAAAGTCTATTTTTTCTGATGATGTATATTTTGTATTATTTTACCGATTCTTAATAATTTCGTAGACTAGTCCATCATATGCCCAATTACATATATTTACATGTATATAAAATTGTTACGGATTCTCTGTGTGTGTGTGTGTGTGTGTGTGTATCAAAATCGAGGGGGGAGCGGGGGGATGCAAATATTCCAAAATAAGTACATTTACAAGAACATTTATTTCTTTTCTTGGACCTTTAATTTTGGAGTTAAATTACATGGTATGTTGTAAGTAGTTACTATTTCATAATAAGTAGATTTAGGATGCATGTTTTCTACATGGTCCTTAAAAATTCATGTTATTTTTCATTTAAGCTAATGTATATGTTGCATTGTACACAATACGTATGTTTACGTTTCTTGTCAAGGACTTAGTCTTGAGACTAAGCGTATTGTTTACGACTAGTCTTACGCTACTTCGTGAAACGCAAATTACGACCGACTAAATTTTGGCGTAAGCCCCGGAAGTTCAGCCAAGTTAGGTCTTAAATTTACGACTTTTGATGAAACGGACCCCAGGTCTTAACGCCATCAGTATAAGGGAAACGCCAAAAATAAATCATTGTCTATATGCAAAGCAATATATATATATATATATATATATATATATATATATATATATATATATATATATATATATATATATATATATATATATATATATATATATATATAAAGCAAACAAAAAAGATGGTTCCGCACACAGCGAATAGTTAAAATTCTTTTAAATCTACGGGCAGTACCTTTTGTGAAAATGGGTCAATCGAGATGAAATTTGAAATTTTAAATGTCTAAGTCGTCAATATAAAGAGGAAAACTGAAATCAGCTCATACCCCCCTCCCCACCCCACCCTTAAATACAAAGAAAAAAGATAGAAAGAAAACAGTCAGAATGATGGACAGAAAGGGATAATATGCTCCGTATTATTCCCCGGTAATTTCATGGGGGCATAAACAATTCTTCAAAATACAAAAGGATTGCCAAATCGCACTGTCTATTTAAGTATGATTCCATTCTGATCAAGGATTTAGAGTAATAGCGTAGACAGGCTCTGTGATAGAGAGTAGAATGAACAGCTAGACAGACAGACAGACAACTTCGACTATAACCAATATGATTTCTCTATGTTTGAGTGAGACATACATGAATTCAAGGTCAAGCTATACCATTATGTCTGATTAAATAGGCAAACTATTACTAGACTAAGTATTCTGTTACGAATGAAGAGCCCAAGGATTTTTATCTTTCTAGGATTTTAATTATGATGTGAAAACGCAAAAAACAAATGCAAAAAGGGTTGGGGTGGAGGCACGAAAGATTGTGCATCATCTTTATATTTATGTAAGCATTATGTAATGTGTTGAAAAATTGGATATGTCTTTATTATGATTAAACCCAATCTCGTAATAGGATCTATGCATTTCAGACGTACGCGTGAAATGAAAAAAAAGTCCCTGGGTTGTTGTATTCTAAGTATTCACCCTTCTCAAGAAAAAGAGCGTTCTGCATTCTCTCTCTCTCTCTCTCTCTCTCTCTCTCTCTCTCTCTCTCTCTCTCTCTGACAAATGACACATCAACTGATATCTATTCATAAGTAATCCTTTATTGTAATATGAACATACAATGTTTTCCATTAAAAATTCTATACCTGTCATGATTTTTTTTACACTTTTTATATCAGTGACCTTGAACTTGCCAAATGACCTTGGGTCAAGGTTCTGACACACCTTCAGGTCATAAACAAATTTTATACCAAATATGAGCTTTAAATGATTCCCAATTCAAAGTTATAGCTCAGAGAAGAATTCTATATTTTTTTCTGTCAGTGACCTTGAACTTTTCAGAATGACCTAGCTGGAGGTCACGACACACCATTTGGTCATAATCTAACACAATCTCTGTACCAAGTGTGAGCTTCCAATGATTCTCTATTTAAAAAATATAGACCAGACAAGAATTTTATACCTTTTCTGCCTCTGACCTTGAACTTGCCGGAATTACCTTGGATTAAGGTCCTGGCACTCCCTCTGTGTACCAAGTATGAGCTTCCAATGATTCTCTATTACAAAGCTATAGTCTGGACAAGAACTCTATGGTTTTTCTGCCAGTGACCTTGAACTTGCCGGAATAACCTTAGTTTTGACACTCTCTAGTCATGAACAATCTGTTTACCAAGTATGAACCTCCAATGATTCTCTATTACAGAGATATAGCTCGGACAATTTTTTTTTTACTTTTTCTGTCAGTGACCTTAAACTTGCCGGAATAATCTTGGTTTAAGGTCCTGACACTCCCTTGGGTCATAAGCAATCTTTGTACCAAGCTCCTGATGATTTTCCATTACAGAGTATAGACTTACAAGATTGCACAGACAGACGGACAGACAAACGGAAAAGGTGATCCCTATACACTCCCCCCAACTTGTTTGCGGGGGTATAAAAAAGAAATATATGCGCGTCACCAAGTGAAAATCCTGGATCTGACGATGATTATAAAATGAAATATATGGAGATAACGAACAGTATTCAAGCTCAAAAGTCCATTATATAATACAAAATAGGAGCAGAGCAAACACGGACCTTCAAACATCAGAGGTGGGATCAGGTGCCAAGGAGGAGTGAGCATCCCCTGCCGACCGGTCACACCCGCCTTGTGCTCCTTGTCATGATCGGGAAATAACGGAAAAATCCGTCGACAATTCAGTGTATAAATAATGGCCTAACAATTAGTATGAAAAAACGTCAGTCAGCATTTGACTTAATGATAAATTGTATTTGCTGACAAGGTCATTGTATCGACCATAGAACTTACGAAATGACAACTTACAATTTTTGTTCTATTTTGTATTTCTGGTTGTTTTGCAATCTTTTTCCATCCATAGTCCAAACGTAAAAACTGTCCTCATTTTTGTTGTAACATTTTCCTACATGAGCTCTGCATGTGAGTGTCGCTGTTTGCTCCAGGCAAACACTAACATTCTGAGGAGGTTTTAATTCAGGAACGTCGGCGAAGCAATCTGAGAATGAAAACATCGAATATTAAAATTTTGGTAGGGCAATGTTAAATCAAATTGTAGGCAAAAATGCTTACCCCCCCCCCCCCTTTTGTTAATGTCACATTCAAGCACCCAAGTCACTTGATTGTGATGCCACTGCAATCAGGCGAGACAGGTGCCTAGGAAGAAATTTGTTCTTATCATAACCCCCGGGGTAGGACAGGGCCACAAGAAGGGGTCGATGTTTTACATAGGAATATATGGAACTTCTCGAGAACAGCAAAGCCATGATTAGTCATATTATAATTATATAGAAGTATCCTCAGGTAGTGTAGATTCAAGTTTGTTCAAATAATGACCCCTGGGGGTAGGGCAGAGCCACAACGGGGGGGGGGTCAAAGTTTACCATAGGAATATATAGGAAATATCTTTAAAAAATCTTCTTCTCAAGTACAGCTAAGTCATTATTAGTCATATTAATACACTAATCCTCGAGAAGTGTAGATTCTAGTTTGTTCACATCATGACTCTTTGGAGTAGGGCGGGGCCAAAACAATAGGTCATAGATTACATAGGAATATATAGATGTAATGGTTATGGGGCATTTGAGTAAAATGCATTTAAGACCTCGAATAGTGGAATGACCTGATAACCCTTGGAATGGACTTGCCAAAGGGTATATAAGGCAAAGCTTTGGGAAAGTCAGGCATTTAGCATCGTCGCAAACCACGGCCAAAATGTGCGATCCTCTGCCATTCTGGAGAGAGCTATGAGCGGACTGTTACAACGCACTTTGAAAAATTACGCAAAAAATTTTTCAAAGTGCGTTAATTTTTGGGCCACGTTAACGCACTTTGAAAAAAATATATTTCTTCTCAAAGTGCGTTAATATCGACCATATTAACGCACTTTGAAAAAAAAAATGTGCATGGCTCGGTCAATATTCTTGCAAATTTTAGGAATGATAAATAATTATTTGAACCTGGCTGGATAACTTTTCGGTGATGACGTCAGGATCTGAGATATAGACGTTTTAAAGATTTTAAGGAGTTGTCTTGTTTCCAAAGGTTCTCGTAACTGTTATAAAAGGGAAATGGGTCTTAGAAATAATGGAGGAATGACTGTTTAATAGCACAGTTCGTTTCTTTTTTTTTTCTTTTCTATTTTAAATTTTATCCAGTCTCTAATAAGTTCGGTAGATGTAGGTGTCGATAAGTTATTCCCTCTCTCCATCGCTCTCTCTCATCTATTTTTCTATCATATTCATCTATCTATAGCTATCTATTGTGAACATATATGAAACTATGGTTCTCATTTATTTGACAGTAAGAAAATAAACCTTAGCCACATTACTCACTCGACTGAAATTTCTACCTCGTTCACTAATACCTTTTTCTCAAAAAGTTATGCAGTTAGATTACTTCTAAATCTGTAATTTGATATCATAAAAACGCTGGACATGTCATAAATAGCATGTTTTAATTACCATGTAAATGCATTTTTTCTGAGGAATCATTGAGGATGCATTTTGAATAAAGGTTATGCTGCTCTCCTCTTTTATATAATAGGGTGCGTAATTTTTTTTAGGAAAACTAATCGTGTAGGAAAGATAGTTGGGCTGAGGGACTTAATGTCTACCTGTCTTCTCCTCGTTCTCGATGAGAGTAGATCAATTCATCAGTTTTTCGAAAGAAATATGACAAATGCTGTCTATTATTAAAATCTAAGTTCAGAATTATTGTTTTATACGTATTTTTTCAAAGTGCGTTAAGTGTCTCCATGGTAAAAAAATGTTAATGTACACTCTTAACGCACTTTGAATTTTTTTTTTCAAAGTGCGTTGTTTCTGTCCAAAATTTAACGCACTTTGAAAAAATATTTCAAAGTGCGTTGATTTTGTCCCAATTTTAACGCATTTTGAAAAAAATTTTCAAAGTGCGTTTCCACAGCGGACTCCGGACTGTGGCTTGAGACGATAGGCATTTAGAAACTAGCAGAAGTTAGGCGTTGAACCTGCAATAAAGAAGTTAGAGTATTCCATCCCTAATAACAAAAGATTCAATGACATTGAATACATAACAGATTTGTTCATGTAGTAGGTGTTGAATACTCAGTATATTTAGACATATTTCCCATTTATTGCTATTAGCATGTGAGAGTTGGATGTGTCCTAATTTATGACCTTGAATTTTGTAAGAGTTATCTCCCTCTGTTTTTAATTAATAAAAAGAAAACTTATCTGGAAAAAAAATTGTTTTCAACTTTCTCTTGGTAAATCCTTTTCTAGTGTATTATTAGCTCTTCTAAGCCGAAGACTCAAGTGAGCTTTTTTGATCAAAATTTGTCCGCTGTCTGTTGTCGTTGTTGTCGTTAACTTTTCACAATTTCATCTTCTTGTCCAGAACCACTGAGCCAATTTCAACCAAACTTGGCACAGAGTATCCATGGGTGAAGGGGATTCAAGTTTGTTCAAATGAAGGACCATGCCCTCTTCAAAGGGGAGATAATTACAATTAGTGAAAAATTAATGGAATCTTTTAAAAATCTTCTTCTCAAGAACCAATGGGCCAGGAAAAATGAAACTCAACCTTCCCCGCCTTCCCTAACAAAAACTTATTATATAGTTAGCTATAGTTTACTATACATTTAGTTAAATATAGTAAAAACTTTGATACTTTGATTTACAATGAAACTTTACTTTGAAACTTTTTATGAGATTTCAAAGCTAAAAATCTCTTAACTTTGATAATAGTGGTGTAAAATATTGAAATAAAACGTGAATATACAAATGACAGTTCCATTTAATACAAAAAAAATGTGCATGTATGAATTGAAGAACAAAAAATAAGAATCTGAAATCCATCGTAAAAATAATTTGATTTACTAAAGGAAAAAAACTTTGATACTTTAGTGAACTATAGTTATCTATAGTTACTGTATTTTTTTTGTTAGGGTGGGCCATGATTTGAACAATCTTAATCTGAAGTATCTGCGGATACTTGTATATTAATATCACATCATAACCCTCCTGCTCTTGAGAAGATATTCCTATGTACAATTTTGATTCCTTATTGTTGTCCCGCTCTGTCCCTTGGGTTCATGAAATGAACAAACTTAAATTTACACTATGTCAAGAAGCTTTCACAGAATTTCATTTTTTTTCCTGACAGAGTGGTTTTTGAGAAGACTTTTAATGACCCTACCATTTTTTCCCCAAATTTCTTAAGGTGGTATGGGACACCAAACGAAACTTCTCCTACATATTTAATTACCCAATTTAGGAGGATTTGAAATACCTCCACCTTTCAGTATGTTAAATTGTAATATTAATATTTTTTTATTATTTTAATGAGAAATACAAAAATGGTTTTTTTTTCCTATATCATTCCTTTTTTCAGAAGCTTAATATTACCGGCAAGAGTTTACTAATATAAGTGTATAAAAAAACAAAAATGACATAAAATATGTCTTCGCATTTTTTTTAATTTTGAACAAAAAATAAGCGTAAAAAACTGGGAAAACTTTATTTCTTGAAAACAGACGGATAACATTTCATGAAAGTCTACAATTACATTGTATCTTAATATGTTAGCAAAGTGAAATAAACACATTGAATATATATATATATATATATATATATATATATATATATATATATATATATATATATATATATATATATATATTTATATATATATATAAATGGAAAATATAAAATGCATTTAAAACTTTTTGAATAAAAGATCCGAGGGGAAGAGTTATCCTTTATTTTTCAAGGGTTGAAAAAACGTAGGTGCTATTTCAGAAATGATGAGCATTTTTTTCCAAAACATAAAAACTGCACTTTGTTGCAGTACTAGTGGTAGAGTTTAACATTGAACTGTTTTGAAATCAATGCATGGACAATCGCTTTCCAGGACGTGTCTTGTTCAGAAAATAGGAAAAATACAAAACTTTTCAGCACTGGAAGTATTTGTCGATTCTGAACCCGATTAAATAGGACGAAACACCGTACTGATCCCTATTAGCAGACAAAATGTAGTACGATTTACAATATTACGCATTCATATAAATTTTCTTCTTTCTTTCTTCCTTTTTATGAGTCTATACTCGAGTGATTTATTCAAGTGATTTCAAGTCGTATCCAAAACATTCATATAAAAAAAGAAGCCCTTTGGCAGGTGTGTTTTGAGTAGAGTACAGAGTAGTATTTATGCAGTATATTTAAATCCCTCTGAATCTAGATCAGTTGTCAGTACCGATAGTCAAAATGTTGAACTGTTAAGAAAATTGAATTAATGTGTAACAGTGTTGTCTTTACTACGTGAGTGCCTTGATTAAAGATGATAAGACTAAGTGATACGCACGGGTGAAATCTAACAATACATGTTTTATAGATAATTACATCGCACCTCTACTGGGTGGCAGAATTACATGTTAGTTATAGATGTTTGTTTTTTTTTTTTTTTTTTGTTTTTGTTTTTATTATCAATTAAGCTTTAAGGGTCCTCCACACCCCGTGACTTGTGACGTATATCGAGAAAAATACTTTTACTTCCGGTTTTATATAGTTTCTGCACTGACGATTTGACTGGCACCGCCTGTAAGAGAGTCCTATAAACGCTTTAGATATAACGGTTTTGTCAAAGGAAGAGTATGCAGTCAACCGAGAGGGACAACCTGATCATAAACAATGAACACATGGCATGATCACGGCGTGACCAAAAGAAGAAAAAGAGTCGATTTTTTTCAATAAAAAATACCAGTAGATGTTTGAGTTTTTGTGGCATAATGATTCGGATTCGTAAATAACAGGTATATCTACTCGAAAACGTTTAAGTTTATTTATACTTTTAGGCTAATAAATCCATTGCGATATCGTCAACAAGGTCTGTAACAGACAGTTGTAAAAAGTTGATATTATTGCACACTGATTTGTGCGTTTCAATAATTATACCTATTTCATTGTGTGTTTATAAATATTGATAAAGTGTGCATTTTTAGTTTTGCTATCTGTCCTGTTCAGTTGTGAATAACCGTTAACGAGTTAACTGAGATGACGTATGCGGAGACTTACCAAAGTTATTGAGTCCTGGGTAACAGGAAAGATAACTCTAAAATGGAACTTTGATACCACAGATTTTGAAAATAATTTTTCTGAATAAATAAATTTGATTTTTATTCAATTTTTTGTTGTAATTTAATTCATTAATGTTTCTTCAATACTATCAGGAGTCTTCCATAATTTTTTCTCCATGTATTTTAGAGTAAATGAGTTGTATTTATTTTTTATAACTTTTATTAATTTTTTTTAAAAATATGTTCACTGATAAAATTAAGTTTTTGTTGTTGTTTTCTGAGGTTAATAATATATTCGTGGAAAACACAAAATTTGTTGTGCTACTTATCAAAACTCGATGGGGAAAAAATCTGAAAACATATGAAATTAATTTTTTTAAAAATCAGTATAAATTACATTTTAATTCTTGGCCAGTTTTTAAAGGTTGATATGCTTGTTAAAAGTAATGCTCAGTAATATGAGAACATAAGTTGGGGGTGTGTGGAGGACCCTTAAAAAACCAACAACTCGTATTAGTAATTGATCCGTACACGCATAGTTAGGAAGACAGTCTACATCTCCGCTATATTAATTACTGCTTTTATGTTTGCAATGAAACACAAATGGAGTTAACAAATCTAATCACAGATATCGGTAATATTTCAATTTATCCTTATAAATTTTTGAAGAATTATTCACTGTATGTTGAATTCGCGGAATGTTTATTTCTGCGAATATAGCGAATATTAACTCCGCGAGTAAATTTCCTGTTGTACAGGACATTAATTTAAAAGCAATCGGCATACCTAATTTCCAGTAATATCTACAAAGAATTGCATGGGTTTTTTTTCTGCTCAGACTATTCAATGGTCATGTTACCCATTTGATCTAAACAATGTGGACTCTATTATGGCAAAAAACACATATATATTTGTTTGATATTCTGATAAAACGTGCAAAAAATAAAGTTACCTTCAACATAAAGGATCACAGTTGCTGAAGTGTTCCTCTTCGTCTTATTACACGAGGCGACACAGAGGAAATCTCCGTTGGCCTCCTTGCTGATCATTTCGATATTCAAAGAAGTGTTCTTATTATACAGTCTACAGAGTGGACCTTGAGAGTGATTCTGACACCAGCTAAATGGGAATGGATCAAGAGCAGTTTGATTTCGAGACCGAAAGAACCATTCTATGGTATCATAAGAGGACGGGTTACATTCAAGAGTGATTGCTTCTCTGGGATAGCGTGACGTTGATAAGGTATCGCTGGCGGGGATCACTGGAACATCTGAAAGGAATATATTTGATCTCATTATCAATTTGAAAAACAAACTTACTAAGTGGTTTAAATTTTCAGCGCACTTCATTCAAGAAGGTGCCCCCTGCATCCTCAGCCAAAATGTCAAACCGGCGCGAAACTTCTGTTCTTCTTAGAGTTTACCTGCATATTCGGAAAACCTCTGTTGATATGGTAGGAATCCGCACATTTTGCTGCTTTCGATAACCCTAAAACGTACTGCCTCAAGGCATCGAAGACATGTTGCTTGTTTTTTCACTTTTTGAGACGCCACCACTTGTCGGTGGAGGGCACTGATGCTTGTGAACAGGACCACCCACCCACCCACCCCAATACACCCAGGGTCCAAAGATATTTTCATTTGTGTTCTTTCATAAATCATTCTTCTAGCACACTTTTACAATGTATTTCATACGAAAAATTAAAAAAAATTAGAGTAAACGTTTTATTTATTTAAAAAAATCATAGTTACCCACGGTATTATAAAATAGAGAGGGAAAGTAACTTCGAGGAAGGGTTGGGTAGGGGTTTTCACCACATGAATGTTTAGGCAGTTTTCACAACCCATCCCACCCCATTTACAACCCCTTTTCTTGTGTACATAACAGGAGATAGTTTTAAGACTTCCTATTCAGTAATATGTTGTTGATCTCACAAAAGTGTGTGTGTGTAGGGGGGGGGGGGAGGAGGCATAGATCACCCCTGCATAGATCATCCTTTTGGATCCCCCCTTATTTATGATCTCGCTACTATGCAAACATCAAACTGATTTTAAATCAATAAAATAGATGTTTGAAAAACTACACATGATGGGTAATTTTTCTTCTACATAGAAATAGCTTACCTATAAAAAAAAAAAGGTTTGTGGTGAATTCAATACATTATTTTTATATAATTAACTGTGTGATTAGTCGTCTTCAAAATTTGCCATCTTTCTTTAAGGACAGATGATACACACAAACTTTTATCAAAAATCGTGACAATAACAACTGAAGTCACGTTTATATAAGTAAAATCAATATGTTTAACCGCATAGTTTTTAAAGTTTTCATCAAAAGTTTCACAATGATGAGATTTAAAGCGACAAAAAGTTGTATATATAGATTGATAAAGATGGTTGCCGAAAGGTAGAATTTTTAACATCATAGAAAGTTTACAATTTCTTAATATTTTAAAAATTTATTATTTGCATCATTTACAAGCAAAATAGGTCCAAAAATATATATACCAATCCAGGCAACCATTTTTTGTTTGTTTGTATCATCTGCCCTTAAATTTCCTGAGCTGCAGAAAATGACGCAGCCTGAGCGTTCTTATGATAAACCTTCCTGAATGTAAACTTGATTTACTCAGCTATAAACAACATTTTTATTCATGCGATATTATCGTACTTACCGCATGTGGTTTGAGCAGACGTCGTGACAATAGGGAGTGCTGATATGAACGTGGAAAAGGTTAGGAAGGTACAGGGATTCCTCATAGCTTGTGAATAAAATGGAATTTATGGTAAACACTGCAATATAAGCTTCCATTTATTAGTTAAACATTTGAACATTCAAACTATTAGAGGAAGGAAGTGGTCAAGTGCTTTATATTAAAACGACAGTCTACCTTGTGCAACGGAACAAAATAATCACGACTCTGATCATCGCTTTATCTTTTTCGAATGTTTTCCTGTCAACTTGGATTTCCTACTTGAAATTATACAATATTTTATATATATATTAACCACACACTCAGGTTTTACTTGAACAACTTTTTAAAAAAAGCCAAAACTTACACTGTAAAAGAAGACAATTGATTTCCTAGTTAATTTTTTCTTCGTTGAAAGCCACATACAATCCATATACTACACACTTTATTAACTTATTATTCGACCCTATTAAGATCGACTGTACTGAGAGAGAGAGAGAGAGAGAGATGAACTTACCGAAATTTTAAGTAATGTTTACAAACATCACGAGTTACACTTCGTTGCTTGCCCCAGGCTAGTGAAGAGGTTAAGCATTTCCTGTTTATAAAGTAACCTAAATTTAAAATTCATAGCACTTAGAAGCAGTCTTTGAATACAACCGATTCATGATTAAAGTTGTAAAACACACACTCTTAGGAAGCTTTTTTTTTCCAGATTGATGGATAAGATTGAGGAGAGGGTTGCAACATAGTAATTAACTTAACGAACAAATAAATGGTCGAGTTATAATTTATTATTATTATTATTAGTTAAGGTATAATGGTAATAATAATGTATAATTAATAAGTAGTAGTAGTAAGTGAGGGAGAGAAGATGGGAGGGAGAGATAGAGAGGGGGTGGGACAAAAGTCTATTTGATTTAGGGGTCTCAATGTTAATTTTAGTATAAATTCATAATGTTAATTGGAAATAGTCGAGTCTTGCCACCATTTTCATGTAGTATTTGCACATCGTCGAGGATAAGGGGACAGAACTAAAACTAACCTGCTCCCCCTAAATCCAGCTATGTAAATCCTGATATAATTTAGTATACACGACTTTTATTGTAAAAAAAAATCATGAAAGCGTATAATGCTTAAAAATTAACTTTGAGATAAGCATCTACTTAGCTACAGATGGGAGCAAAAATTAGGTATCTCTTGTTATATCTTCGGTCTTGGTGCTAAATCAAAGAAAAAAATTAAAATGTTAAAATAATAATTAATAGAATAATTGTAACGTAATGCACTATGGGGATATACTAACAAAAATTCAAGAGCGATACGATTTTTAGTTCTTGTAATATTACGCTATTTTCCATGCGAAGCTCAAATTTTGTAAACAGCTGTAAAGTTCCCACAGAAGCTGTTTCATTTTCCCTCGACCTTTTTGATTTTTAGTGACTAAGGAGACGTACTATAATATCTTCAACACAAAAATGACTGTAAAATTTCTTCATGTTCTCGTTCTGCTTTTGGGATGTTTTAAATTTTCTTTTGAACTCAAAAAGGGTAAGCTTTGTAATATATTTTGCATACTAGTAAAACATAATACTTAAGTTTGTAAATGTTTAATATTATACAAATATACAATGTCTTGATTGTTTATACTTGTTGAAGTCTTAGCCTAACGGAGTGAGAAAAGCAAGATAAAAAAATTTAAAAAACATAACTAATTTTATGAGTTTGGAATTTCTTCATCTGTTTTTGGTTTGATGTAAAAAGAAAAATAAATATGCCTGAAAGTCAAATGCAGATGAAATAACTTTTCATACCCAATTGTATCAATATAGAAGTTGAAAAAAAGCTGTATGTTCAGCTAGAACGTCACATGTATCAATCTGAAAGTTCTCGACCTTTTTCTTCCCAGTGTAGAAAAATTAAATACGTATGTTTACCTGGAAGGTTATGTGGAGGTGAACATAGAATTTCTTAGATTTCTAGGATGTTGGATCTTAGCCACTTATAGAGCTGGGAATTATTCTATAATGTTACTAACCATGCATGCAATAGCGTGGTGCAAAACTGAAAACACGATTTTTTGGACTTTTTAAGAAATATATTAAAATCATGTCCTTCTGTTTGTATATCCTCCAAGCTAAAACAAGATCTGGATGTGCACTTTATTTACGTATTACATTTCAGTAATTAGTTAATGGTAAACAAAACCATGCTAATAGCAAAGAGAATAATCAATGGTAAAAGTTTGAAACGTTGTTTCCAGTGGAGCAGGATTCTATAGGTTCGGCGTTCCTGATGACACCAGATGTCTTCCTGACAGGGGAGTTGTTTGATGACAAAGACCGCCAGGGGGCGTTGGTTTTGTTTCGGGGCGAGGATGAAACACTTGGGACAAAGTTTATCGTATACCTGGAATTTATTTCACATCAAGGTATTGCGATCTTGTATCGTCTCCTCGCACGAATGCATGTTACTGAGTAACTCAATCTGTTCAATGAACCCTACAATGAATGTCGCCATATTGTACCCCAAAGTCACCTGATGCAAAGTCACCTTGTAAAGTTCACAATACCTCGATATACATACAGCATAAGGCCACATTATTGTTTTCCATAAACGAATTTTATCCATAAGCATAATAACTGTAATGTTTCAATAATTATTTTGTTTGTATATGAAATGTTTGTACAGATAATAATCCCCATGTAGCATGCCGAGGTTTATGTGAATTGTGCTGTGGAGTATCTCTCATCACTACTGGTTCGATATTGATTCACGGATATAGACCACTCATATATTTCTCCCGACTATTTTTTTCTGCAAATTGAACTTTTAAATGAAAGACGTGGCCGATAGTTTGAATATCTTCATGACATATAATATTAAATTTGAAAACGCTTACATTAATTTTCACAACCTAAAGAAGACCTTATTGACAAAAAAATTGCTTGTTCCTTCTTCTTTTTTCTTCAGTATATATATGTGTGTATATATGTATACATATATATATATATATATATATATATATATATATATATATATATATATATATATATATATATATATATATATTTATATATATGTGTGTGTGTGTGTGTGAGGGGGTGTGTGTGTGTGTACCGAAAAAAAACTTCGAGATATCTGAGGGTTCGAGATATCGAGGGTAAAATACTAAAGAAATACTTAGTAAGGATTTTTTAGTCACTTCGATAAACAAGCAATTTTTATAAACATTCAAACGATTTTCTTAATCGTACGAGTGATTTAAAAAACTTTTTTTTAAATTGTAATAACGAATTTTTTTTAAATTTAAATTCTTACCAAATTTTATTCCTACACTATAACATTACCCTTAATTGACTATACTGCAGCAAAACGTGGGGGAGGGACCGGGCTTTCAATGAACATTTTCAATAGTAAAAAGTAATGTTTGGAAAAAAAGGGGGGGCAGGCCCCTCCTCCCCCTTCCCCCGATGCTATGTACCGGATACAAACAATTCTATTTTTTCTAGAGATTTGAAATGGCACGTATACGCCGTCATAGCTTAAGAAAAAAAATGTCGAATGTTGATTTTTTTATATGGCAGGTGCCACATCTGTGCAAGCCATGGGTTTGCGATCCGCTCTGTTTGAGAAGAGAGGAGTGAATCGTTAAGCTTGACTGACAAAGATGCAGGTGCCTTCATATTTCGATGTTTGACATAGTACTTAGTACATGTATAATGCCTATTTCTTGAAATGAATTTCTTTTTCATTCAAATGGACTTGAGCTTGAACTTGAGAAATTGACATTTGCAACTAATTAGAAAAAAATCTACTTGTTTCAAAGTGTCTGAGAATTGGTACTGCATGTAATCATTAATTAATGTAATTTCCATGAAACTTATTTTGGCATTTGTCTTTTTTTTTTTGCGTTTACAGCTACTCAGCATAGGAAATTAAAAATATTTACAAAAGTTATGCTCAAAATATATGCTTTTCAAACAAACGGCCTGAATCAGGAGTCTAAGCGAAAGGTTTGTATGTGTAAAAAAATGAAAACGGATTGTTTTTACCTTATTTTACATTATACTAGTGTGTTAATCATTAAATGTCATTCTCTATTTCTAGTTATAATACACTACATCATACTAGTCTGTTAATCATTAAATGTCATTCTCTATTTCTAGTTATAATACACTACATCATACTAGTCTGTTAATCATTAAACGTCATACTCTATTTCTAGTTATAATACATGTCAAATCACGCGATGGAAAAGAGGTTCAGATAACGTTTCCATGTCAACCCCAGCTGAAAGAAAAAGACATTCGAATCACTCTCCACTTTAAAGACCTTTTGAAATCCCCAAACCAAATCTTAATGTATATCAACTGCAAATTGGTAGGGAACGAGACGAGCTCAGTCCCCATTAGGGAGGGGCTGGTAGGATCCCAGAGACAGGTAAGGCAACGGACTCTAAGATCATGGTATTTATGTTTATTTATCAATTTCATTCCTATACAGGACTGAACTGCATATCTTCGTATACTCTCTCTTTCTCCCTCTCAAGCGATATTTTTGTTTTGTATCCCTTGTACAAGTTTTATTGTTAAGAGTTAATTGGTGGCATCTATATATATATATATGCATGAATGACATCGGAACCATGTGCTGCTACTTAAACCAGCAGTAATCCGTCAAAACAGTTTGTATGCTTTACATTCTAAACATTTTATGCATTTGCTGGCAGTTAACTTACAGAAGCGAAGCGCGCTATACAAGATATAACTTGTACTTCATTCGGACAATAAAATATTGAAAATGATTAATCGTATTATTTGTTTTCATTTGTAGCAAATAAATCCCAGGTTCTGGTTTTATGTTGGAAAAGACGTAAGACCTGTTCTACAGAATCAGGGCTGTCCAGTGATCTTCCCTACTCAGGAACCACCCTCGAGAAATGCTCATGAAACTATTGTTCGAGTAGTTGTTCCACCCCGCCCAAAACCAGACCAACATCTCGACAAAGAAAGAACATCATCTAAGGATAGATCGGACCATGTTAAAACTCCCAGGGAACCTCTTCCGGAAAGTCGACACAGGTTAACACTTCCGGATTCTAAAGCCATACCCATTGGTATTAAATGGTCACATAACTTATGATACTGAAGTTTGAATGATGTTTACTAACACTTCATTTCTCCACAATTTTTTTAATTATTCATGGAAATTGATATAACATGTATTTAAATCCTTGTAAGTATAACATATTGAATTGCGTCGAAGATGATGAATTAAAAAATCATATTTAACAAGTGTAATATTCTACATAAATTTCAAATAAATTGCTGCATGTTCTTAGCGTATTGTAACTTAATATTGCTGAATTGACCTTGTTGCGACATGTTTTGACAGATTCTGGAGAAGTTCATCTATTGTCAACGTCCTTAAGGACACTCACGTCCGCCGTAAGACAACTGCAACGACAGATAACAATCCAGGTCTCTGCATTATTATTGTGTTTTCAAGTACATGTGTCTACTCTTAACAGATAAAATTTAAGGAGAGGAAATGAACAATATTAATTTTAAGAACGTCGTTTCATTGAATTAAGAATACAGTAAAATCCGTTTAGTACGAACAGCGAATTCACGGATATAGCTTCACAGATAGGTTATTGGAGTCCCCAGCAAAATTTTTAACAATTCTTTGAAAAAATTTAAGGTTTTAACGAACTTTTATATGACGAATTTACGGATATAGCAAACTGATTTTGAGTCAGTAGATGTTAAAAATAATTAAAATTACATTTTTATAACGAATTTTCGAAGATTTCAAAATTTGATACATTGAACTGACTTTATTTTCCGTAAGTATTTGTATATGAATTTCAATTCATAATAAAACCTTAGTTATCCAAGGTATGTTTTGTAACAATTGCTTCCCTAACATATTCGGTTGTAATACTTGAAGGAAAACGAGTATGCAAAATGGAGATAACGAACAGTATCCAAGCTCAAAGTCCATTTAAACAATAGAAATCGGGAGCAGAGCAAACAAGGGCGTCCAAAAACATCAGAGGTGGAATCAGGTGCCATGGAGGAGTGGGCATCCCCTGCCGACCGGTCACACCCACCGTGTGCTCCAAGTCATGATCGGGAAATAACGGGAAAATCCGTCGACAATTCAGTGTGTAAATAATGGCCTAACAATTAGTATGAAAAACGTCAGTCGGCTTAATGATAGATTGTATTTGCTGACAAGGTCATTGTATCGACCATATAACTTACGAAATGATGACTTTAAATGAGACTTGTGATATTTTTGTTTCATCAACTTGTTTGTCAGTAACTTAACTCGATTTAGAAATTGTTCATACGTATAGCATGCTCTTGCGTATCGAATCAACTGAAAGATATACACCCCATATGCAAGTTATAAGGGTATATTGCTGCATAAGTAAGGGAAGCTGACGATTGAAATGTTAAAGTCATCACGTTTATCATAAAGTTTTGTTGTTAGATTACTTTTAACGTCTTTTTCTAGTAAAATATCCAAATATGAAACAGATGTGTCAGACTCTGTGGTATCTTTTATTTCAAGCTCACTGGGATATATCGTGTCGACATATGAATGGAAATAACTATAATTTGTTAATTGACAATACGTCGTCGATATATCTAAATGTCGAGTTGAAGGCCACAGCAAGAGATTTCTTTTTCTCATGTATAAGATTTTGAATAAATTCTGCTTCATATGAATACAAAAATAGTATATTGCGAATTCGCTTTATATACTTATACGAATTCGTTATACGCAAATAGCGAATTAAATTCACAGGCCCCAGGACTTCGCTATAACCGAGTTTTACTTTACATGTAAAATGAAAAGCACCAGAATGACTCATCCTCTGACAGGGCCGTAGAACGTGGGGGCCAGTCCCCTTTTTCCTGAGTATAGCCTTTTGCTATAGTTTTAAAGTGTAAATTTTCGTTTAGGTGTTGGTTGTCCCCCCCCCCACTTTTAGTTGCTGTAAGGTCGAACACTCGGTCTGGCAAATTCCAGCATTCTGAAAAAAGAACCCCAAAACTTAGAGGAGAAGTTCAACACCTCCCTTGCGAAATAGGAATTTTCGAGTTTGGACACTTTACTTTTTTTTTTTTTTTGCTTGTCACATTTTTTTTTTAGATTACCCCCCCCCCCCTTCTTAAAATCTTTGCTACGGGACTGTCTGATGCCTCTAAATGCACACACTTATTTGCAATTACACTGCATAATTTGACTTATTTTTGCTGACTTAGATATCATATCATTATAGGGTCAAGAGACACGTTACCTGCGAGAAGTCTTAAGTCGCTGTGATATGTGCAGAGGGCGCACTGGTCAACCCACAGATACATGTAAGAATATAGATTTATTAAAGAGAATCTTTTCCAATTAATAAAAAATCATAATCTTTTTCGAATGTAAATACAATTATTAACTGGGTTCAAGGACAGCATGCGTTTTGTCGGATCCTATAATCAATCTGCTTGCCTAAGGCCGTTAGGCAGAAGGCAACAGTTTGATTTAATTTTTGACAAATCGCATTTTCCCCAAGAACATAGTCAATAAATGTTTGATAAATATATACCTTTAACAAAAGACAAGCAAAGAAATTGCATGATTAGATTTCAATGTAATATAACTCATGCCTGGTGTTGAATTATCCCGAGGCGACTAAACTGAGGATTAACGAATGTGTGACGACACGTAGAAAAACTAGAGTGTTCCAGTAAACGCACGTGTTGCCTGCTTTGTAGCTTCATTAAGGATGTAAATAAATCAAATATTGGTGAATTATTATTTACCATAACTGAAATTAAACTGCCCGGGGTATTTTTTTGCAAAGTAGGTCCAAGGTCAAGTGGACTGTAATGCTGGTATTTTTCATAATGTTTTATGACAAATAGTGCAATGCTAAATAGCATACACTTGCTTTTTAAATGTGAAAAATATGCTGTATATCGGCACTATGAACTATTTTGAAAAGTAGGTCAAGGTCAAAGAGTCACGAGGTCTGTAACCATGGTAATTTACTAAAGTCGTAGTGCCAAGCAGTATATGTGCAAAATATCAAATCCACACCTCTTACAGTTCTTGAGGTATGAGGTGTGACAGACGGACAAACAGACAGACGCCGGGTAAAGCGATCCCTAAGTGTCGCTCTGCTCTGCCGGCGACACAAAAACGTCGTAGCGGTCGAACATGATCAAGCGGTTCATCATCGCATTTGTTCGGACTGTTCAGCCAAAATAATGTGCAACTTTTTCAATGTATACATTTACATTGGAAACAATTTTTAAAGGAGTAACAAAATTAAAAGTGAGACTCCCAACTCCTGATTTAGTTTAATAAATCGTTGGATCATTGTTTTTGTTCAATACTGTTTGTTATTGCAAATAGAATAAAATAAAGCATTTGGTATTAGTAAAAATAATTTAAGCAAAATATACTTGAAAGTCGTCTCTCTTACTTTTCTTTGCAGACAGTCGAGAGAGAATTTTTACTTGCCAGGACAAGCCATGCTTTGACAACGTGCCGTGTGAGGACACCTCACGTGGTTATCGGTGTGGGAGGTGCCCAGCAAATTTCATAGGAGATGGAATCACATGTGTCCCCAAAATAACGTGTGAACAGGAGCCTTGTTATGCAGGCAATATTTAATTCAATTTCGCAGCTTTGTCTTCATAATAAAATTTAAAATTTTACAAAGTTAAATTTGCATAGGGATGACGATGACTATTTCCTTATTTTATGGTAGAGATTCATTGAAATATTTCTGACCAGGTGTCCCGTGTACGGAAACAGTGGATGGAGTCAAGTGTGGACAGTGTCCAGCAGGAGTGATTGGTGATGAATCACGGAACGGATGTCAAGAAGGGCAAATAACGTGCGAATCCAGACCCTGTTTTCCTGGAGTCGCCTGCGTTGAAACCACGTACGGTTACGAGTGTGGAGATTGTCCGAATGGAATGCAGGGGAATGGGACTGCCGACGGATGTGTTCGATCCCCCGAGGGCTGTGAAAGCCTCCCATGCTTTGATGGAGTCCTTTGTAATGATATCGATGACGGATATCAGTGCGGCCCGTGTCCACCAGGCACGACGGGAAATGGCACAAAGTCTGGATGCCACCCCATTGGTTGTGATTCAAATCCTTGTTTTGCGGGAGTGGAGTGTGTAGATTCCCCGAACGGATATCAGTGCTCATCGTGCCCTGAGGGATATAAAGGGAATGGGACACATTGTACGGACATTGATGAGGTAAGTCTATACTTTACAGCTGCAAGTAGCATATTCATACTGTAATGGCATGCGCGGATCCAGGATTTATATTTCCAGGGGGTCTTACGGAAAAAAGGTCAGACTTGGAAATTTCTTGCAAGCAAAGAGAAAATCGTATACAATTTATCCAAATCTGAATAAATTTCTTGATTTTCGTGTGCGTGTGTGTGTTTGTTGAGTGTGTGTATTGGGATTGGGGTGGCGGAGTAGTAGGGTATTTCAATTTCATTGCCATATTCCGAGTGTCCATGTTTCTTGGAGGATACAAGGTTATTTTTGCTTACTTTACCAAAGGAAGTTGATAACTTTGCAAATCCCGGGACCCCCTTCTAGATTTACGCATGAATAGAAGAAAACCTTGCATAGCCTTTGTATTTTCTCGCTGATTGTATGGTTCTGAGTTAAATTATCAGCAACTTTTACTGATGAATTACTTGTATATATCTATTTTTCCATGCAGTGTAGAGTTCATAACCCTTGCAGTTTCCTGACGGAATGTGTTAATTTAATCCCTGGATATAAGTGTACAAACTGCCCCATTGGGTATTCAGGAAGTGAGGTGTCTGGAGTCGGTATCGAGGGCCTGAAGTCCGTACAACAGGTCTGATTGTAACATTATTTTGTTTGCAATCATCATATTTGTAAAATGTTTCCCCATTTGAAGAGACTGTTTAATAATTTCAGCTTTGTGAAGACGTTAACGAATGTGAAGACGGAAATAATGGAGGCTGTGTGGATTACTCTCACTGCACAAATACGCCAGTATGTAGAAAGTGATATACACCAGTATGTAGAGAATGAAATACGCCAGTATGTAGAGAATGAAATACGCCAGTATGTAGAGAAAGAAATACGCCAGTATGTAAAGAATGAAATACGCCAGTATGTAAAGAATGAAATACGCCAGTATGTAAAGAATGAAATACGCCAGTATGCAGAAAATGAAATACGCCAGTATGCAGAAAATGAAATACGCCAGTGTGTAGAGAATGAAAAACACCAGTATGTAGAGAAAGAAATTCGCCAGTATGTAGAGAATGATATACTCCAGTATGTAGAGAAAGAAATTCGCTAGTATGTAGAGAATGAAATAAGCCAGTATGTGGAAAATGAAATACCCAAGGATGAAAAGAATGAAATACGCCAGTATTCAGAAAGTAAAATACACCAGTATGTAGAGAATGAAAAAAAATCAGTATGGAGAGAATGAAAAACGCCAGTATGTAGAGAATGAAATACGCCAGATAAGTAGAGAATGAAATACATGAGTATGTAGAAAACGAATAACGCCAGTATGTAAAGAATGAAATACATGAGTATGTAGAGAATGAAATACACCAGGATGAAGAGAATGAAATACGCCAGTATGAAGAAAGTAAAGTATGTAGAGAATGAAAAACATCAGTATTCAAAAATAGAAATACGCCAGTATGTAGAGAAGGAATTACGGAAGTATGTAGAGAATGAAATACGCAAGTATGTAAAGAATGATGTAAACCAGTATGTAGAAAATGAAGCACACCAATGTGTAATGAATGAAAAACATGTATGTAGAGATTGAAAAACACCAGTATGTAGAGAATGAAATACGCCAGTATGTAGAGAATGATATATCCAAGGATGAAGAGAATGAAATACGCCAGTATCTAAAGAATGTAATATGCCAGTATGTAGAGAGTGAAAAAAAACGCAAGTAAGTAGAGAATGAAAAACGCCAGTATGTAGAGAACGAAATTTGCAAGTTTGTAGAGAATGAAAAACGCCAGTATGTAGAGAGTGAAATACCTCAGTATGTAGGGAATGAAATATGCAGTATTTAGAGTACGTAAAGAATGAAATACGTCAGTATATATGTGTTGAGAGTGAAAAACGCCAGAAAGTAGAAAGTAAAATACACCAATATGAAGAAAGTAAAATACACCAGTATGAATAGAATGAAATACCTTAGAATGTAGAGAATAAAATACCTCAGTGTGTAGAGAATGAAAAACGCCAGTTTGTAGAGAATGAAATACTCCAGTTATGTAGAGAATGAAAAACGCCAGTATGTAGGGAACGAAATTTGCCAGTATGTAGAGAATGAAATACGCCAGTATGTAGAGAATGCAAAACGCTAGTATGTAGAGAGTGAAATACCTCAGTATGTAAAGAATGAAATACTCCAGCATGTAGAGAATGAAATATGCAGTATTTAGAGAATGAAATACGCCAGTATGTAAAAAATGATATACACCAGTATGTAAAGAATGAAATACGTTAGTATATATGTTGAGAGTGAAAAACGCCAGAAAGTAGAAAGTAAAATACACCAGTATGAAGAGAATGAAATACCTTAGAATGTAGAGAATAAAATACCTTAGTGTGTAGAGAATGAAAAACGCCAGTTTGTTGAGAATGAAATTTGCCAGTATGTAGAGAATGAAATACGCCAGTATGTGGAGAATGAAATATGCTTGTGTGTAGGGAATGAAATATGCCAGTATGTAGAAAGTAAAGTTTTTAGAGAATGAAAACATCATTATTTAAAGATAGAAATACGCCAGTATGTAGAGAATGAATTACGCAAGTTTGTAGAGAATGAAATACGCCAGTATGTAAATAAAGAATAATATACACCAGTATGTATAAAATGAAATACGCCAGCATGTAGAGAGTGAAAAAAGCCAGTATGTAGAAAGTAAAATACACCAGTATGTAGAGAATGAAATACCTCAGTACGTAGAGAATAAATTACCTCAGTATGTAGAGAATAAAAAACGCCAGTATGTAGAGAATGAAAAACATCTGTATTCAAAGAACGAAATACGCCAGTATGTACAGACTGAAATACGGCAGTATGTAGAGACTGAAATACATGAGTATGTATAGAATGAAAAACGCCAGTATGTACAGAATGAAAAACGCCATTATGTAGAGAATGAAATACGCCAGTATGTAAAAAATGAAATACATGAGTATGCCGAGAATGAAATACGCCATTATGTAGAGAAAAAAATAAATGTACATCAGTAAGATTGTGGTAGTTCACCACATTCAGAAGGTTTTAAAATTGAATCATGAAAGTAATTCTTTATATCATTCCTAAATATTTTGTAAAATTAAACTGATATGTCATCTAGACCGGGTGATTTGTTGTTATCCATACTTTTAATTTAGGTTTTGCCTCACATATTCTTTGTTCTTCAGCTTTAAATTTGCTTTTTACTTCAGTACTTTTTGAATGATTTCTTATATTTTCAGTTCTGGGGTCTTGTGACGTATACAATTTTTCATAAAAATTACATAATTGTCCCAAGATATAATTACTACGAACGAAAGTGTGATTTTCTTGGTCACTTTTTTTTCTATAACATTATCTTGATTATTTTCTAGAGTTAAAAATAAGAGGAGCATTTTTCTCCATACTTAGTACAGTTTGCTCAAGATCTTGACATATGCTCCTTCTAATTTTTTATTATATATTTCATGTAATGAAGATAAGGAACAGTATTCAGGCTCAAAAGTCCATTAAAACAATACAGATTTGGAGAAGAGCAAACACGGACCTCTAAAACAGAGTTGGGATCAGGAACCATGGAGGAGTAAGCATTCCCGGTCGATCGGTCACACCCGCCATGCTCTTCTTGTCATGATCGGACAAACGGAAAAATCTTTTAACAATTCGATGTGAAAATTATTTTATTAATCGTCAGTCAAGAATTAATATGGTTAATTGATAAAACGTCGTCGATATATTAAAATATTTAATTGAAGGCCACAGCAGGAGACCTCTTCTTTCATGTACAAGTTTTGATTAAATTCTGCTTCATATGGATACGAAAATAGGTCTGCTAGTAACGGGGCGCAATGTGGAGAGAGAGAGAGAATTTGTATGAGAAGTACTCTTTGACGATTCTTTGACCTTATCATTTTAGGCGAGTTTCTAATAGGTATTGTATGTATGGAGAGTGTCTGATGATACCATATCATTTTAGGGATCGTTTGTATGTGGAGAGTGCTTTGATGATTATACCGGTAACCAGACAGTGGGATGTCGGGAGATGAAGACATTCTGTCCAGATGGAGTGAAAGAGTGTCACAAACACGCAATGTGTATTATGGGAACTTCTGGGTATGACTGTCAGGTGAGTTTTATAAAAAGAATATGGTCAATTAGTATCGCACAATCAGTTAAGTTGATTTTATTGGAAGAAAACTGAATAACCTAAAAATGATTAATCTTTTTAACTGCCGAAGTATGGCTGAAATATAGCCGACTCAGCGTATAACAATTAATTAATCTTTTCATCATTTTGCCAGTTTTTTTCTTTGAAATTTGCAGTGCAGAATAGGATATGCTGGCAATGGGGAATACTGCGCCAAAGACAACGATCTTGATGGCATGCCTAACATAGGGCTTCGTTGTAAAGAATACAGGTGCTCAAGAGTAAGTTTTGTGAAATTTACCATAAAAAAATAATGAACCTCATTGAAAGTAGACTAAGTCTAAAGATTTTTAATTTCTTCTTTCTAGGATAACTGCCGAGATGTTCCAAATAGTGGTCAGGAGGACGTTGACCTGGATGGAATCGGAGATGCTTGCGATGAAGACATCGATGGAGACGGAATCGTTAATAATCCAGTAAGCTTCAAGAATCATGATTATTTGACACCAAAATACTTTATGAAACTTTGATTTAAATGTGTAGTTCTGTATCGATATTGCGGAAATTATGTTGTAGGACAACTGTCCGTACGTAGCGAATCCCGGTCAGGAAAACACAGACGAAGGAGAGAGAGACAATCAAGGAGATTCATGTGATAATTGTCCTAGTGTGCCCAACACTGACCAAGTCGATACAGACAAAGACGGCATTGGCGACGCATGTGACCCAGACATTGATAATGACGGTGAGGAAGAATACCAGCTTTATATTTCAGCGACTAATTGTCCAAAGCTACAAAAATGATATAGATAGATTCCCATGTACAAGACTTAGATATACAGAAGTGTTCTGACTTGAGAAATATACTGAAACGCAAAAGAAACGCAACATTATATTTTAGGGGGAAATATTACATATAGGATATAATTTTGATTCTAAAAAGTAAGGACATCTTAATTCAGCTTTGTAAATATCGGTTTAACGGTTGAATGATTTTCATACCATTACCGGAAGTTAAATTTGAGTCTGCTTAACAGAAATCAAAAATTGCATGTTTAACAAAACATTTGGCAATAATATGGGGTTTCAAGGATTTGTATCTGTTCATCATAAGTAGTGCAGCAATGTTCCGAAAGATAAATTCCCCTTTCATTTCCGTAAGCGATGCCAAGGCTTCCTGAAAATGACTTAAGTACGCATTTCCATTGCTCTAGCTGGGAAATCTCAAAATAAAGGTGACGGAGAGTTGCAGATGCAAATATGACCCACATCACGCCTCAACAGGCTCTTACGTATCATTAGCATGAATGACGGCCTTGGACCGGAAGTCCAAGGATTACTACACTGCGCTTGGCTAGAGAAAATTCGACCTCATCATCAGAAGAAGAGGCATTTAAAAATGGCAAAGAATATTTCTTTTGCCTAAATCTCGAGATTGATGAACCTTTTGCATCGTAGAAATCAAGCTGCAACTGTTGTGCATGGCAGTCTTGCACGCTGTAATTGAATGGGCGGGTTGGGGGGTGTTTTAACAGTCATGTATTACTTTCTAAAGTTAAAAGATAATCATTTAACATTTTTTATCAAATCTCTGATGTTTTCAAATCAAGTTTTACCTTAGAGTTTTCATTTTTGAAAATCATTAGACAAAATGTTCAAATATTTGCAGATCACTGCTTGTTGCGTTTCTTTTGCTTTTCAGTATATATGTAACTATAGATGAAAGATTATAAAACCTTGCACGATACCTCAAAAGATTGCACAAATAAATGGATGAACGTGCTTGATATACAACTTTTTTTCTGCAGGAATTTTAAATGAAAATGACAATTGTCCAAAAGTGGTTAATCCTGACCAAGATGACGGGGATGAGGACGGCGTGGGGGATCTTTGTGATAACTGTCCCTTTCTAGCAAATAAACTGCAGGTAGGTAATTTTTACAAGGCTGTTTGATTACGATTGATGTGTAAAAATAACCAATCTCTCTTACATTTGTTTGCAGAACGATTCTGACCATGACTCTATCGGCGACATCTGCGACACGAACGAAGACGAGTAAGTTTATGTTTTAAAGTTTTTTTTTTAGCCACAGGCGCTTGACGTTTTTAACCTTTCTTTCCATAAATAAAAAATCCCCCATACTATAATAATAACAAGGTTCGTCACGGTCGCCATCTTGAAGTTTTCAGTTCAGCTACTTCGCCTCGATTTTTAGTCTACGACGTCTTTAAAATTAACGGATACAACCGTTTCCCTCAAGTACTTACTTTAACTATGCCTCCACTTTCGGGCAATTCAACTCAAATCACATTAAATCCTCTCTAATTCTTAAAATGTCGCTTCAAACTCAGTCTACTGCTACCGATTCCGTAAAACTTAGAAAAGGGAGGTTGATGTTAGAACGTCACAATCCGGGAAAGCCCTTGACTGATTGGTGGATATCTTGAGAGTTATATTAATATTAAGAGATGTTTAAAAATGGAGTTTGAGCAGTTCTAGCTACAGGTATGTATTTTATAAATAACTTAGTAATATATACTGATACATCTATAGTCCCCAACTGTTTGCAAATAAATATATATTTAGCCTAAAACTGTGTACTTTTTCAACTGCTATTTAAGAAACACTGAAATATTTAGGCTGAATAGTATACACTGTATTTTACACACAGAGGCGTAGTTACACACCTGAAAGTAAAGGGGGGCTTAAATCCAAATAAAAATTCAATTATATTGTCAAAACATAAAAACGTTTACAATTTAATTCTGAAATTTAGGGGGGGGGGGGGGGGGGGTCTGGCAGATTTTGAAAATAAATTTAATTGTCCTTCACCGACATGGAAATAAAGCTGGGAAAAAATTGCCAGCCCAGCCCCCCCCCCCCCCTCCGGAATCAATTGGTCCTCCCTTAAAAATAAATGAATGGCAATATAATCTGTGAGGCCACCCGTAGGTCTTAGGCGAAGCCTTGATTGGGGCGGGGTGGGGGGTTGGGGGTTGGGTGGGAGGGGAAGCTCCTGGCTTGTACAAATATTTCAATCACATTCTTGTAGGGAATAGCATGGTATTTGGCTTTTTTCTTATGAAAGACAAGACAGTAATATTGTTTTTAACACGAAGTTTAACTTTCTCAGAAACTTATTGTAAATGTACTTGAGGCATGCAGAATCTTTTACCGCTACATTTGTATCGTCTGCTCTCTGTTATAATATGTATTAATAATGTTCAGCAACAAGTATTTTAAATGTTGGTAACAAAAATAATTTTAAAATCATATACTACAGTGGCGGATCCAGGAATCTTGAAAAGGGGGGGGCGACCAGTTTGGGGTCAGGGTAGGGGCTCGCAGCCACACACAAAAAAATTGCTTTATTAAATCTTATGTACATTATATTTTGGACACAAAGGGAGGGGGCGGGTCCCCTGCCCCCCCCCCTCTAAATCCGCCAGTAAACTATTTGATTAAGCCATTTGACGATAATTAAACTTAATTTCTCAAAGGTCTTACAGAATTATTCATGTGTTATAGAACACTTACTATAGATTAATGATTTATTTGCATTTGGCAATGATTCAATAAAAGATTTCAAATAGACGTAATAATATAAAATTTGATTCGAAATAATGACAATTAATAATTTGAAACAAAAATATTTGCCGGATGATGCTAATATTTTTTTTCTCTCAACAATCTCTATCTCTCTCTCTCTCTCTCTCTCTCTCTCTCTCTCTCTCTCTCTCAGACCTAGATTTTTTTAAAAAAACGATGTGTAGTAACGCACTTGCGTACTTGCAAAGACAGCTTCGCGCCTGTAGAAAGAGGGGACATGGAGGTTCAGTGATCTGGGCCAGCTCACCACTGTGATGAAAAATAAAACATACACATATCTATCCTTCTTCTTTTTTTTTTTAATTTTCATCGCTTCCAAACACTGAAAATAGTACCATTATAGGGAAGAAATATTTTTGCCAGAATGCAAGGGGTCTGGTTTACACGAGAAATTAGTAACCAGAATTCCAGGACCAAGCATATTTTTTATTTCCTCGTGATTTTTTCTTCAACAAAATAAAAGAAAAAAAATATTTCACATATTATTTCTGATGATTATGGAAAGCATCGGCCTGATCAGCATTCAACATGTCGAAAAAGTTTGTTACTGTCTTTGCATGATTTTTCCCGCGAAACGTCATATTTCTTTTAACCAATGAAATTTAAGTAGAGGGAATTTCCATTTACATAACAACATCAACTTCCGGCCTCCCTTTTCTAAGTTTTACGGAATCGGTAGCAGTAGACTGAGTTTGAAGCGACATTTTAAGAATTAGAGAGGATTTAATGTGATTTGAGTTGAATTGCCCGAAAGTGGAGGCATAGTTAAAGTAAGTACTTGAGGGAAACGGTTGTATCCGTTAATTTTAAAGACGTCGTAGACTAAAAATCGAGGCGAAGTAGCTGAACTGAAAACTTCAAGATGGCGACCGTGACGAACCTTGTTATTATTATAGTATGGGGGATTTTTTATTTATGGAAAGAAAGGTTAAAAACGTCAAGCGCCTGTGTTTTTAGCCAATTTACATCATATATGTATGTTTTAATACAGTCATAAATATAATTGTACATTGATTAATTTAGAGACAGTGATGGAATACAAGACAATTATGACAACTGTGAGTTTGTTCCGAACGCTGATCAGTTAGATACAGACGAGGATAATATCGGTTAGTTTTTTTATTTAGGTTTCATTGACATTAAAATTGCACGAATAGTGTTATATTCTTAATGAACTATCATAACCGGGTCAACCTCATTCTGGACTCCAGCCTAAAATTAACCCTTCTATAACTCAACCACTGACGTTTGAGGATGGCATAGTCCCGAATGACATTGGGCCGATCATGCGTTTTGTTCGTATAACCCGGGATCTATGGAACGCCAAATTAACATATATTCAAATATTTGAACCTATCTTCAATTTATTGTACCTATCTTCAAATCAATTATACCTATCTTCAAATCAATTGTATCTATCTCTAAATGAATTAAAGATAGGTTTAATTCAATTATACCTATCTTTAATTAATTTGAAGATAGGTACAATTGATTTGAAGATAGGTAAAAATGCCATGAATTAAAGATAGGTATAATTGATTTAAAGATAGGTGCAATTGAATTGAACCCATCTTTAATTATAAAGACACGGACAATAACAACTATTCCCCATAAAAATGCTTTGTTTGGTTCCCTCCATGTTCATGTCACTGTTAGAGGGAGCTCTCAGTATTTTCTATAACACAAAACGAATTGAACCTAGGTATAATTGAATTGTACCTATCTTCAAATCCTTTGTGGATATGTTTCAATTGTACCTATCTTCAAATCAATTGTACCTATCTTTAAATCAATCGTTCCTATCTTCAAATGATTTAAAGATAGATATAATTCAATTGAACCTATCTTTAATTGAATTAAAGATAGGTGTAATTTCATTAAAGATATGTATAATTTATTTGAACCTAGGTTTAATTATTTAGAGATAGGTATAATTATTTACACCTATCTTTAATTCATTTAGACCTATCTTTAATCAATTGTACCTATCTTTAATTCAGTTGTACCTATCTTCAATTCATTTAGAGATAGGTTCAATTATTTGAAGATAGGTATAATTATTTGAAGATAGGTTCAAATATTTGAATATATGTTAATTTGGCGTTCCATAGGGATCTTTGGCTATGCCAGTGAGAAGACGCACGAAGTGGAATAACTCTTACAATCCTTGTGCTTGGTCGGAGTGACCCAAGTCAACTTTTCATTTACACGAAATGACTCTAGGATATTACAATTCCAAATTCCTTCAAGATCTGAGAACCTTTCCTCACCAGAGTGGCTCACAGGTGTTAAGGAGTGGCTCTGTTTCCCCAACCTGTATAAAATGCAAGCAGAGACAGACACAATCCAGTTTCCGACTTTTATTAAATTAAACGATCTATTTTTCTAATATTTATTATTACAACAAATAATTTTACACAATATACTAAGCATTATAATAAACATTACTACTTCTAATATAAAATATTTTAACCTTTAAATAAGATAAGCCATCTGAAAATTTACTAATTTTACAAAAACGCGCAATTCTAAAAAAGAAATGATCTCACCTGTATAAAATGCAAGCAGAGACAGACACAATCCAGTTTCCGACTGAACTATGTCCGTCCAGGCTGCCTATTTTATACCCTTGTATCCGTGCATCTCCATATTTAATTCCTTCAAAATTTGCAATAATTAATTTAAATTTTAATTTGAATTTTAATTACCATTCTTCTGTCCTTCAACACTTTTATTTCCTAACGCACTTTAAAAATTATTTTCGATCTTCTGCATAATCTTTAAATTTTATTTGGTATAACAAATAAAATTTAAAGATTATGCAAAAAATCGAAAATAATTTTAAATGTACTAATTTATACCAATAACTGACCTCTGGTCACTTTAATACTATTGGTTGCCCCTTCCCTAAAACCAAATATATCATTTGACAAACAACTAAACTACTGCATTTTAATGAATCATTTACTTGGAACCGTACAGGTTAAAAGGTCAACCATAGTGGCCAGCATCTCTAATTAGGTCACCTGAGTCACTCAGGTGACCTATTGCTATCCGTTTTCGTCCGTCGGCGTGCGTGGTGCGATGTGCGTTAACATTTGGACATTTTTAGCCTCTTCTCTGAAACCGCTTAACCAAACTCAACCAAATTTGGCATATAGCATCTATGGGTGAAGCATGGCCGTGCCCCCCCCAATAATTTTGCCGATATATAGATTACTATAGAAAATATAGCTACTATATACTTGTGCCCCCTCAATAAAAACGTCTGATGACTTTTTTTCTTTTTTTTTCTTTTCTTTTCTTTCTTTCTTTCTTTTTTTTTTTTTTTTTTTTTTTTTTTTTTTTTTTGCTTGTCAAGGAACTTTTGGTAGTTGATAGTGCCCCCTCAACTGAAAATATATGACTGTGCCCCCCCCCCCCCAAACCGAAATTGCTTCCTACGGGCCTGTGAAGGGAAACACAAATTTTGAATTTCATGATCCCTGCCCCCCCTGGGGCTTGAGGGGTGGGGCTAAAACCACCAAAATTAATGCAATCTTTAAAAATCTTCTTCTTTATTCCTGGACATTAAGCAGTCAAACTGTTGGCATGATTGTAATAAGCATTGAGTCCTCTACCAAAATTGTGAAATTCATGGCCCCAGGGTCAGGGGTTCTGGTGCTATGATGAGGCTATATAAATCATATAGTGAAAGTGCATTATTTCTTTGAAAATCTTCTTCTCTGCTCCTGGGTATTAAATAAAGTAACTAAGTACATAGTTATGATGAGCAAGAGTGCCTCTTCCAAAATTGTGAATTTCATGGCCCCTGGGTCAGGGGTTCCAGTGTTAGGGCAGGGCTCTATTGATTATATAGTGAAAATGCATTACTTGTTTGAAAATCTTCTTTTCTGCTCCTGGGTATTAAATAAATTAACTAAGTACATAGTTATGATGAGCAAGATTGCCTCTACCAAAATTGTGAAATTCATGTCCCTAGGGTCAGAGGTTCTGGTGAAAGGGGGGGGGGGGGGCTCTATTGATTATATAGTGAAAATTCATAATTTCTTTCAAAATATTTTATCTACTCCTGGTTATAAAGCAAAGAAACAAGTGTATAGTTATGATGAGCAAGCCTAGGATGCTTTTACAATTGTTTTAAAACTTGTGGTCCCAGGGGTTCTGTTGTGTTTGTGAGGGGGGATCTATTGATAATATCGTGAAAATGGGTGAATTCTTTGAAAATCTTCAGCTACATGTAATTGCATAGTTATGATGATGAGGGTACCTCTTCCAAATTAGTAATTTCATGACCCTGGGTCATGGGTTCTGGTGTTAAGGTAGGGCTGTGTTAAATAGTGAAAATGCATTATTTCTTTGAAGATCATCTCTGCTCCTGGGCATATTGGAGGCAATTTCAGAGTAAAAAGTTTTAATAAGCAAGGGTATTTTTACCAGAATTTTGAACATCTGGACCATTTAGTCAAGTGTTCTGGTCCTGGCCAGGGCTCTATTAATTTGTATTCTACTGAGTGAAGTTATTCCCCTTTGCCATTCACCTTTGATAATTAATCACTGTAGGTAATGTATTTGAAAGGTTAATAGAATAAGAGAATTTTGTAAGAACATTTATTGTATAATACAGAAAGTACTTTCTTAGTCTAAATGATCAGGCAGACTTGGAAATAATACATGAATAAAAATGAGACAAAAATAACTTGTCTTTTTAAATGTTCTTCAAAGGCCAAGAGAGGCCAATGTGAGAAGTAATAATAAAAAAATAATTAAAAAATAGACATTTAGTTAATAGTCTGCTTGGTAATAGTGATAAATGGGGGACAGATAGATACTAGACCAATTATATTGTTGAGCTAATCATACTATTTTTCTTGCTTTTGGGCAACAAAGCTTCATTTATCAGTTTATGGATCCTCTAAATTGTTGTATTGTACTCAGGTGACCGTTAAGGCCCTTGGGCCTCTTGTTAATTTTCTCTCTAGAGTTAGCACCTGTTCTGTCTTTCAGCAATATAAACCGAATTATTTTACATTCTTATTTTTATGCATTTTTTGTTACGATAGAACTTCTAATTTTATTCTACTTACCTAAGTTTTGATCTGAGGGTATGTTAGGGAATTGGTAGTATTAAGTAGAGTCATATCTGATTACTCTTTACGTTCGATTTCAGGCAATGTTTGTGATGAAGATGATGACAATGATGGGATAGATGATGATGACGATAACTGCCCTCTCGTATCAAACCCTGACCAGACCGACACGGACGGTAAGGCAGCACTATAATGGAAGTCAAACATTAGCATCAAATACATCTAAATATCGTATGTACCTTTCCATTACATAATGCATGTATACAAAATAAAGTGTTCCCTCTAAAGGTGATGGATTCGGTGACGCATGCGTAGATGATACTGATGGAGATGGATACGCTGATGTGGAGGACGTTTGTCCAGAACATAAAGATATCCATTCCACCGACTTCCGATCATTCCAGACGATTCTGTTAGATCCAGTTGGTGATTCTCAAATAGACCCTGAGTGGCTTATTCTAAACCAGGTACATACATGTACTGTATTTAGGAACTACTGTAAACCAACTTCCATTCGCGACGACTTTATTTCGCGATTTACCGGGGGTAAACTAGTTCGTGACGATTAATTTTCGCGATCAAGCCTTTTTTTGATCTGTTGTTAATAGAAAGAGAGACTTTAAGGACCCGTTCGCGGCGAGAAATATTCGCGATGACGAGACGCGAATAAAAGTTGGTTTACAGTAATTTGAAAGAAATGAAATACTGAAATAATCTAAGTTTATATGGATACAAAAAAAATTATTATGTTAATTCAGATAAAGGGAATAATAATAAAATTAAGGCATGAAAATTGTTTTACAGGGAGCAGAAATTGTTCAAACAAAGAACAGCGATCCTGGTTTAGCTGTTAGTAAGTAATCATTTGAATTCTCTCAGAAACTTTATTTTGACGTCATCATATATATAGTAATCCTTATTATGGTCAATGTTAACTTTTCTTCAGGTAATACCACGTTTTCCGGCGTGGATTTCAGCGGAACATTCTTTGTTAATACGGAGGTGGATGATGATTATGCTGGATTTATCTTCAGTTTCCAAGACAACTCTAAATTTTACTGTATCATGTGGAAGAAGTCCGCACAAACATATTGGCATCCTACTCCATTTCGCGCAGTTGCAGAGCCCGGAATTCAGCTGAAGCTTGTAAATTCCAAAACCGGGCCTGGTGAATACCTCAGAAATGCTTTATGGCACACAGGAGATACAGCAGACGAAGTATGCTAAAATACATTAATTTCAAATAAATAGAGATAAATAATTCGTTATTCTGTCCGAGTCTGACATGATATGCCTAGTTGTTGAAAATCATTTCAACTTTATTCATCGAGAGCTTTAAGCAATGATTCTTTTTTTGTGTGCACAGGAACATGTATACCAATATCCCACTAAGGGATCTTAAATCTTAACTTAAATGTGTTAAACTTAACTCTGTTGACTTTATTTTTGTAAAGGTACAGCTTCTTTGGAAGGATCCTAGAAATACTGGATGGAAGGAGAAGACGGCATATCGACTGGAGCTAATTCATAGACCAAACATTGGTCTCATCAGGTGTGCATTAAAATAAAGAAACCACAATATACCCATATCAAGAAACTAACTTTCACCTTTTCTGTTTCTTTAAAACTAACATTGTTATTTTAAACCTTGCTTCTATTGTTTCAGAATTTTGTTGTTTGAAGAAACAAGCCTGATGGCGGATTCCGGAAACGTGTACGACGCCACCCTGCGTGGTGGAAAACTGGGCGTATTTAGCTTTTCCCAGGAGGGGGTCATATGGTCCGATCTGGTTTACAGGTGTAATGGTAAGTGTCCTTTAGTTTGAATGTTACTGGATGAAATCTGTCCATTTTCTTTCTTTTCTTTGGGATTTTAGATTATGTTCCGCGCGGCTTGTTGAGAGAGGGAGCCGAACCTTTAGAACCAGCGGAGGGATTTCTTGAAGATTCCGGGATATACCAATTTGTCAAAAAGAGATAAAGACTGATGTAGATTCCATATTATGTCCATCTGAATGTGCATCTTAAATTAAGACAGATCTTGGTTGTTTTATTGCTTATAACAATACAAATATGTTGACGCATTGTTTGTGTGGGTTTTTTTTCAATCAGATCTCTTTCTGTCTGTTGCTGTGATACTGTCTTATGAACATGCAGTTATGCGTCGTCTTATATCTCTGTATTTATGCGGGCACAGTCCTTAGTTATTGAACCAAAAGCAGCATGTGTGTGGTTTTTACCCATCCTTGAAAAGGAAGAAAATATTTAAAGGATAAAGTATAAACTTTAAAAATTTGATGAAAAGAATAAAAAGTCATAAAGTATTGCACTTAATAAGTAGTCCACAACACTGGAAAGTAAAATATTGCTCTCAATATATATGGAGTCCACAACACTGAAAGGTAAAAATACTGCCCTTTATAGCCCTTAATATGGATTCCACAACACTGAAAAGATACATAATGAGTCAAAATCGTGTTTCGTTTCAGATAATTGTACCATAAAACAAAAGGTTTATGTGAAACATGAAACTTGAATTTTCTGAAACCTTATATCTTCAAGAATTGAATACAATTTGCATTTGTCATCCAAAAATTCTACTTTTGTCAGTTTTCCCCTTTTTCCGTCACAGTGTCACTTTAAAAATTGCTCTTAATATGGTCCACAACAGTTAAAGGTAAATTATTGCTCATATCCACAATGCTGAAAGTAAAATGTTGCCCTTAACATCAAGTCCTCACCGAAAAGTAAAGAATTGCTCTTCATATGAAGTCCCAAACACTGAAAGGTAAAATTTTGCCCTTAAAGAGGCTGGGTGGTCGTGGCCATTTTTAGACTATATTGATCTCCTTTAAAAGAAGAGCTCCATATAAAGATATACAAAAATAATCAAATTTTAAAACTAAAATGTATGAATTTTTTCTTTGCCAAATGATAGTTGACAGCTTAAGATATCATATCTAAAAATATAAGTTATATCTGATGGTTAATTTATTGACCCCCCAGCCTCCTTAATATGGAGTTCACAACACTGAAAGGTAAAAATATTGCTATCAAAATTCACAAATAATATTAAGTCCATAATAATAATATTAATATTGAGTCCATAACCTCAAAAAGTAAAAGTTCTGCACTTAAAATTTACAACACTGAAAGGAGAAGTATTACCCTTAATATCGAGCTCACAACGCTGAAATATAAAATATTTCTCTTAATATTGAGTCCACGACACTGAAAGACTCTGATGTTTCGGAATCCGTTCTTGGGGAGCGGAATAGACAGGCCCGTAGTATTCAGGATGGAGAGTGGGGGTACTTTATCGGCGAAAAGTCTTTTTCTGTAGTGTTCATATGAGAATTTTCAATTAAAGGATTGCTTGTCCCCCCTCTCCCCACCTGTTTTGTTGCAGTATAGTCGAACTCTGCCAAATCCTTGCACTGAACGAAGAAAAAAATTCAAAGTATTAGAGAGAGACAACACCACCCAACCCCTTGAACATGACTTGAGAGTTCGGGCAATTGAGGTTTTTTTCTCTTTTACTTTTCAAATTTTTGGAGGCAACCCCCTTCCCCGCGCCCTTTTGAAAAACATTGTTACAAGTCTGTGGGTATCGACAGTAACTAGCTCCTGAAGATCAGTGGTCAGTCACAGGGCACAGAATATTAGGACTAAAATGGCGATATTGAACCGGAAGCAAAGTATTTTTGGATCATTACATGTGAAAATATGAATATTTTACTTCAGCTTGGAAACTACCTCCCTAATCATATAATATGACATTGTAAAGCACAACAACTTGCTATGTATGAATTTTACTTTTACAATTTTTTTCGTTAAAAAATTTATCTCCTATTGATAATGTACTGCCTTTGTCTACTAATGTATCTTTCATGCCTCTCTGGGGGCCCTTGATTGGAAATAAAGATTGTCTATATTGTCTATATATATTGTCTATTGTTGATTTTTCAAAAAAAGGGGGTTGTTTGTTAGTTATCTATCCTTAAACATTAATTAAGCAATTTTGAAAAATGAGTCACTGAATTTATATTGATGAGTATTCCCTTTGGCATTTCAAAATTAACAGACATGCATTTCTTTTTTATATTGTCTCGTAAAAATCTAAAAGTCTAATTAAAAAAATCGTTTCGACTTCGAATGAAAACAAAATCTGTCCCCCGCAACATTTCTGCTTAGTTTCGTAAAATTTCCATTTCCGCAGCAGTGTATTGTACTGGCATCAGGAAGGTTGTTAAGCTATTGTAATTATAGTTGTATTTTAGAGCTGCTCTAACAGTGCGCAATTTAAGACACACGTGGTCCAAGTGCTTTTTATCAAATAACCAGAGAATATCCTTACTGAATTCAAGTACATAATGCGATCTAACCCACTGTAACATCCGCCACGTACTTAAATCACAAACAACACGTGAGGTTTACAATTAATGTTTTATATGCTTGAATGTGTTGTCCTTAAACTTGATGCAATACATGTATACTCATTTCATGTGCACTAATGACATAGAAACTAATAACAGTTGAACGTAACACTGTGTCGTGTTTAGCTATGTTGTACATTTTGTGTTATACAGCATTGGTTTTCTGTGACGTGGCGTATGTTCAATCGTTTAAGTGGACACCTGAAGGATGGGATGGATTACCGATAAATTGTCCTAATGAATGTCATTTTAATTCAAACTATAAATATTGTTGTGTCTGTCGGGGAAGGATCGTTCTAAATGATTTGCTTGATACCCCGTACTTACAAGTTGATAAAAACGCACTCTCAACAAAAATGTTTTATCTTGAACATCGTGAGAAAGGATTGCAATCATTTCCGAAGAACATTTGTGACTTCACAGCTCTAACACAGATTGACTTGTCCCGAAATCTGATACTGGATATTCCTAATTTATCGTGTATCAAAAGTCTTACACATTTGAATTTATCCAGAAACAAAATTTCTGTTTTACGGAAAGGCTCTCTTAGCAACAACAGAAACCTGAGGGTTGTAGATTTATCGTATAACTTCATTACTCACATGGAAACAGGCGTTCTGGGGGAAATGGCATTTCATAAATTATATCTACATTACAACGATCTGATATCTATTGATATCAGTAATATTGTTTTTCAAAGACCCTTTTGTTTGTTGGATATATCTTATAATAGTATACAAACGATAACTAACGAGCATGGATGGTCAGTAAATCTTGCCACTATTTATGGACCTGGTTATATCGATTTTTCATACAATAAAATGAACACTTTGCCGGATTTAGGAAAACTTGGCTTTTCGGACATCTTTAAACTCGGTAAACTTCTTTATTTTAGTTTTGATTGGCGACATAACCCTATCAAATGTGACTGTATCCTTGCTAAAATAATCTTACATTTTAAACCATTTTTAGAAAAAATTGACAGAGAATTTTTCGAAGTTGAGTGTAAAGATCCAGCCCTTTTTCATGGGTTAACTGTCCCTGATATAATAAATGAGAATCGAATCACAGATATGACGTGCAATTATACGTCATATCCGAGTTGCCCTTTTCGTTGCTCGTGCATAATTCGGCCAGACTCTGAATACTTTACATCTTCAAACACTGTTCTCAAATTAATTATGGATTGTACAAACGCTGATTTAGTACGATTGCCTAATATTTTTCTAGAGAGTGACGAAATCGAACTCTACTTGCAGGGAAATAAAATCACTCGGATACCATTAAAACATTATTTAAATCGTATATCTGTTCTTGAGCTTTCAGTCATTCCCATGTTCGACAAAGGAGCTTTGGAGAATCTCACTCGATTGCAAAGTTTTTCAGTTCCTCGCAGTCAGCAACTTGAAGGAATTCCTCCATTTTTTTCGTTTTTTAAACCCTGTGTATTTCTGCAAAAGGGGGATTTTGTCGTGAACTGCACATGCGCGAATCAATGGATGTATGACTGGCTTATTATTAAAGGGGCAGAATGTAACACACCATTTGAATTTCGTTGCTTTTTGGGGGATAAACATGAGAGTTTGATTAAAATTATTCCAAAGTTGATCTGCTTTGAGAAAGATAATACAGCTTTTTATGTTCTTTTCTCTTGTGGTGCAGGTATATTGCTGATTTTTATTGTCGTTAGTGTTTTATTGTTCAATTTTAAATTTGAAATTTCGGTCATATTAAAAAGATATAAGGCAAGTAGAATATCCAGGAAAACAACTAAGGAATGTATTTATATTTCCTTCGACGAAAGAAATGAAGATATTAATACATGGGTGTTAAAAACGCTGGAACCGTTTTTGATAGAGAAGGATTGGAGCGTGTTTATTCCATCACGTGATTTGCCTTTGGGTAGTGTTCGATCCGACGAATCGGCGTGGCAGGTCGCAGTTACTAGGTATTTTATCGTGTTTTTGTCAACTAATTATTTTGAAGACGAGTGGTTCGAAACACGTAATGAATGGAAATATATATGGAACAGTTACATACGTGCATCTAGTGAGAGAAAGGAGTTGTTGCTAATAAACTACGATCTAATGAAAGTGAGCGAAATATGTTGCAGAAAATGCAAGGCAGTTATGCGTTTTGGAAATATCATTGACTTTGATAGAGGAGAAGAAAAAATATTTTCTAAAATATTGAAGATTTTTACATAGCTTTAATATCTGCACAGAATTCATGACAAGGTTGTTTGATTGTAAACCGTTGTTGATATTTTGACTCTAACAGCTGTCTAAGACTCCAAAGCATTTTATTACGTACAGCATACATGTACCAGGGCGGATATTTTATTTAGTTATAATGAGTTATTTTTTGTATGTAATTTGTGACATAGATTATTCGAAAACATTTATACATATTATATATATTCATACAATAAAGTGGATGATACAAGTACATTTACATGTACTCATATTATATTATATATATATATATATATATATATATATATATATATATATATATATATATATATATATATATATATACTGTATATATATATATATATATATATATATATATATATATATATATATATATATATATATATATATATATATATATATATATATATATATATAATATATACTGTATATATATATATATATATATATATATATATATATATATATATATATATATATATATATATATATATATAGCTGTGTTTGACTCTCGGACTGTAGACTTTCTGTGCTTGTCTCTACTGCCAACAACTAACAACTAAACAACACTTAAAAAGAACACGTTCAGTGTTACACTTCATGTATTTCTTTTAAAAAAGAAAACTGAATCTGACCAGTACATTGAAGTCTTATTTTCAAAAGTCTGAAATTGTACTTTAAATAAACAAGAATTTTTTTTTAAAAATATCATTGATATTTTGATTATTTATTTTTGTGACGTAATACATTCATGCATTACATGTACGAATATGCACCGGGCAAAGTTTACCATACATGTACATGGTAAGTACTTAAGTTTCTTGCATATTACTTTTTTCACAGGTACTTTGTTTTTCGTGTTAAGACAAAATTGCAGGACAGGGGAGACACCTGTTTCTTTCTTTCTTTCTTTTTTATTAGAAAAATGACCTACTTTTTATGGTTGTTTATATCTAATGTGGGTCTGGTAGTTACAAGAGGCCCAAGGGCCTTAACGGTCACCTGAGTATAATAACAATTCAGAGGATCCACAGAAGTATTAAATAAACTGATAGATGACGCTTCGTTGCCCAAAAGCAAGAGAAAATAATATGATCAGGATCAGCAAAATAATTAGTCTAGGACGCAGTTACCTGCAGAACTGTAGCTCTATGCTTGAAAAAATTCGGACAGATAAAGCAGAGAGCTACAGATCCAAGCGTCGTAAAAACCTTCGATTTACGTCGCCTCTTTTATGTCGCTCGCTTTGGGTAGTATTTCTTGCATTTTGTGCTTTCCATAGTATCCGATAATTAACCATATATTTTCCTAGTATTCTTTATACTTTATTTACTTTTCAGCGGTCTCAAACAGCCCTTTGTGGTTTAGCAATGTCGGCCCGCGATATAAAAAATACCCATTCCGACGCCTATGTTGGGAGTCTTTCAATGAACATATACTTGCCGAGAAAATGTAATTAAAAAATTAAAGAGGTTCAAATATCATGTATATTGTCTACAAAGAATACAATATGTATGTAAAAAAAGAAATGAGATAAATAAAACTCGGGCGTGTTATTTCAGGATGACACCAACGTCGACGTCGGAATGCATTTTTTCCCTGATATTCCAAAACCACATACGGCCGTCTGGAAACGTTGAAAGGTAAATAAAGTATCAGGAATAAGAGTAAAATATATGGTTAATTTTCGGATACCATTTTTAAAATGGAGGAAAGCATTAGATACAAGAATTAATACCCGGAAAAAGCGATAGCGTAAATCGAAAGTTTCTACAACGCTTGGATCTGTAGCTCTCTGCTTTGTCCGAATTTTCTCAAGCAGAGAGCTACAGCTCTGCAGCTAGGACTCATTAACAGTTCATAAAATACTCCTTGCCCCCATTTATCACTAGCTTCTTACTAACTATAAACAAAACAATAGTGCTTTAGTACGAATTGTAATCCCACATTATCGCCTCTCACACTGGCCTTTCTTGGTCTTTGAAGAACATCTAATAAGATAAGTTATTTTTGTCTCATTTCCATTTATTATTTACAAGTGTACCTGATCATTAATACTATGAAAGTACTTTATGTATTATAAAATAAAAATTCTTGCATAATTCTCTTATTCTATCGACCTTTCAATTGCATTATTTACATTGATTAATTATCAAAGGTGAATGGCAAAGGGGAATAACTTCTCTCAGTAGAATACAAATAAATAGAGCCCTGGCCAGCACCAGAACACTTGACCAAAAGGGTCCAGAATTTCAAAAATCTGGTTAAAATACCCTTGCTTATAAAAATTTTTACTCTCCTTGCCTCCGAGATGCAGAGATGATTTTCTAAGAAATAATGCATTTTCACTATAGATTCAACCCTAACACTAGAACCCATGACCCAGGGTCATGAAATTTTAAGAAAAATGGAAGAGTTACCCTCGTTCATCATAACTGTGCACTTAGTTGAAGATTTTCAAAGGATGAAAGAATTAACACATTTTCACTATATTATCAATAGATCCCCCCCCCCCTCGAAACACCAGAACCTCTGACCTAATCTTACACCAAATCTCTGACCCAGGGGCCATGAAACTCATAATTCTGGAAGAAGCACCCTTGTTCATCATAGCTATACACTTAGTTTCTTTGCTTTTTAACCAGGAACAGAAAAAAAATCAAAGAAATTATGCAATTTCACTATACAATCAATAGAGCCTCCCCCCCCCCCTTTTCACCTGAAGCCCTGACCATAGGGCCATGAATATTCACAATTTTGGAAGAGGCATCTTGCTTATCATAACCATGAACTTAATTTGTTTACATAATACCCAGGAGCAGAGATTTTCAAAGAATTATCCATTTCACTATATCACCAATAGATCCCCGCCTTAACACAAGAACCCTGACCCAGGGACCATGAAATCCACAATGTTGAAAGAGGCACCCTTGCTCATCATAACAACGTCTATCCTCTTTGTCGAGATTGCAGTGATTAGTTACTTTGAGTCAGATAAAATAAAAACACATCTAAACACTTTGACTTGTTTATCTAGACTGCCTATTCAAACATAGCATTGCATTGTAACGTTACCATAACGTCATATTTATGATGACGTCATAATAGGACTATTACTTAATGTCACATGCACTTTAATTTTACATGAAATATATGGAGATAACGAACAGTATTCAAGCTCAAAAGTCCGTAAAACAATACAAAATAGGAGCAGAGCAAACACGGACCTCTAAACATCAGAGGTGGGATCAGGTGCCATGGAGGAGTGAGCATCCCCTGCCGACCGGTCACACCCGCTGTGTCCTCCTTGTCATGATCGGGAAATAACGGAGAAATCCGTCGACAATTCAGTGTGTAAATAATGGCCTAACAATCAGTATGAAAAACGTCAGTCAGCATTTGACTCAATGATAAATTGTATTTGCTCACAAGGTCATTGTATCGACCATAGAACTTACGAAATGATGACTTTAAACGAGACAGCTGATATTCTTGTTTCCTCAACTTGTTTGTCAATAATTTACCTCGTTTTAGAAATTGTACATACGTAGAGCATGCTCTTTCGTATCGAATCAACTGAGAGATGTATATACCCCGTATGCAGGTGAAGAAGGTATATCGCTGCATAAGTAAGGGAAGTTGACGATTGAAAAGTTAAAGTCATCACGTTTATCATAAAGCTTGGTTGTTAGATTACCATTAACGTCTTTTTCAAGTAAAATATCCAAATATGAAACAATTGTGTCAGACTCTGTGGTATCTTTTATCTCAAGCTCACCAGGATATATCGCGCATTAAAAGATTGAGAGGCAATATGAAAACCACCTATCCTTCTGTATTCAATAATCCAGAAGTGAAAAAAGAATTAGATAGATTACATGATCAGTACGTACTGGTCCCTGCTGACAAAGCAGGTAACAACATTGTCTTTGTTTGTAAGGCTCATTATATTAAATGTATTTTAGAGGAACTTGGATTTAATTCTACAAGTGGTAATCCAACTTATACTCATAGTTCCCTTTCTAAGGAAGAAATTCTTCAAAATCATATGTCAGTTTTGAATATTTTTAATATTCCAAACAACCAAAATGAATTCGAATTACCATATTTATATTGGATTCCGAAACTTCATAAAAATCCTTACAAACAAAGATACATAGCGGGTTCCAGTAAATGTTCATCCAAGCCTCTTTCTTTTCTCCTCACTAAGATATTAACAGTGGTGAAGGAGAAACTTCAAGAGTACTGTGCAACAATATATTCGAGAAGTGGTGTAAATCAGATGTGGATACTTAAAAATTCCAAGGAACTTTTGGAAAATTTGAAATCACAAGATTTTACCAAAATCAACAGCTTAAAAACTTACGACTTTTCAACTTTATACACAACCATTCCGCACGATAAATTAAAGTCCAGGCTTTTTGATATCATTGACAGCTGTTTTTTCAATAAAAATGGAACTCGTAAATATACTTACCTTGTCATTGGTCATTTGCAAAATTATTTTGTTAAAAAACATTCTGATTGTACACACAAGTACTCTGAAGTTGACATTAAAAAGATGCTTGAGTTTCTGATTGACAATATCTATGTGGTTTTTGGAGACCAGGTCTTCCAACAATCTATTGGAATACTTATGGGTACCAATTGCGCCCCGTTATTAGCAGACCTTATTTTGTATTCATATGAAGCAGAATTTGTCCAAAATCTTGTACGTGAAAAGAAGAAAACACTTCCTGTGGCCTTCAACTCGACATTTAGATATATCGACGACGTATTGTCAATTAACAATGGCTATTTTCATTCTTATGTCGATACGATATATCCTGGTGAACTTGAGATAAAAGATACCACAGAGTCTGACACATCTGTTTCATATTTGGATATTTTACTTGAAAAAGACGTTAATGGTAATCTTACAACCAAGCTTTATGATAAACGTGATGACTTTAACTTTTCAATCGTCAACTTCCCTTACTTATGCAGCAATATACCTTCATCACCTGCATACGGGATATATATCTCTCAGTTGATTCGATACGCAAGAGCATGCTCTACGTATGTACAATTTCTAAAACGAGGTACATCATTGACAAATAAGTTGATGAAACAAGAATATCAGCTGTCTCGTTTAAAGTCATCATTTCGTAAGTTCTATGGTCGATACAATGACCTTGTGAGCAAATACAATTTATCATTGAGTCAAATGCTGACTGACGTTTTCCATACTGATTGTTAGGCCATTATTTACACACTGAATTGTCGACGGATTTCTCCGTTATTTCCCGATCATGACAAGGAGCACACGGCGGGTGTGACCGGTCGGCAGGGCATGCTCACTCCTCCATGGCACCTGATCCCATCTCTGATGTTTGGAGGTCCGTGTTTGCTCTGCTCCTATTTTGTATTGTATAATGGACTTTTGAGCTTGAATACTGTTCGTTATCTCCATATATTTCATCGTATCGACATAAGAATGGAAATAGCCATTGTTAATTGACAATACATCGTCGATATATCTAAATGTCGAGTTGAAGGCCACAGCAAGTGTTTTCTTCTTTTCACGTACAAGATTTTGACAAATTCTGCTTCATATGAATACAAAAAAAGGTCTGCTAATAACGGGGCGCAAATGGAAGATTTTCATCAACATACTCCGGGCCGCAAAATTCACAATAATCATAATTTACAATGATAGAAAATTCATATTTCGCGTTGTGCTTTAAAAAAGGATAAACTAAAAAGTCTTCGCTTCTCCTCACTGTGGAATCTGAATTGCTTAGTCCAAGGGAATATAATTTTGTAATGGGACGGTTTGATATGGTTTCGTTACTAAGACGTAAGAGTGCTGATCTTGTGAGTCCAACTCTGCCAGTTATGAGATCAACCACTATTGCTTCTCCGTAACTAAGGTGTGTCTCCATATTTATCTTTAAACGTCCAAGAACTTTCAGTAAGGAAGTCTTGGTCAATCCTATTAATTTCTCCCACCATCCACCATACCATGGAGCTCGACTAGGGCATTTTCTGCATGTGATGCTCTGGGTATTTCCTTTGATGCAGATTGAAAGGTTGTTGCATTATCTGAGATCATGATACTAGGCAGTGATCTCCTACTAATAAATCTTCTGAATGCAAGAAGAAATGAACTATGTGTCAGGTTTGGTACTAACTCTAGGTGTAAAGCTCGAGATGAGGCACAGGTAAAGAGGCATATGTATGCTTTAGAATCTTCTCCCAATTTATCCTTGACATAAAGGGGACCTGCAAAATCAATGCCTTTCACAGTAAATGGGGGTTTCATCTGTAGACGGTCCTTTGGTAATGGAGGGGGTTCTGGAGCTTGATATGATTTTTCTACAGCTGATACATCCTCTAAGAATCCCTTCCACATGATGTCGAATCCTTGGTATCCAGCATTGTTCATGAAGTAAGGTAATTGTCGAATTCCAACTGGCATGAACATGCATTTGTGTGTATCAACAACAATAAGATATGTCAATCGGTGCTCTGTAGGAAGAATGTATGGAAATTTTGTTTTCTCCATCAGTGGTGCATTGTGTATTCTTCCTCCACACCTAAAAATCCATCTCTATCAAGGAACAATTTCAGTTGCTGAACCAAGGTTGGTTTCCTTCCAGATGGATGTTTCAGATATTCTATTTCCTTTATAAACTCTGTTCTCTATACATCGTGTATGAGCAGTATAATAGCTTCACGTAATTCTTGTTTACTGAGAAATCCTGCTCTCCTTTCACTAGAATGTCTGCAGTTGTGAATAAATCTTCTGATGTACGCAACAGCTCTAACCAACATTATGAGTGAACTTTTATACTCAAGTTTTAGTACTGAATGTATAACTTCAGTCCTGGTATCCGCTGTAACCTGATCCTCTGCTTGATGATTCATATTACTCTCTTCTTCAGCGCTTGTGGAACATAGTATTGCGTTTGTTGGTCCATCCCATACACGCCATTTCTTGGGTTCAACTAATCATGCTGGTCCATTCCACCAGAGAGTATCCTTTTTGAATTGTGCTCTCGGAATTTGTGACAGTTCTCTCTGAGGAACTTCGAGGGAATTGAGAATTTTTACAGATACTTGTGTGCTGAGACTTTTTACAATTCCTGCATTTGAAATATGACTGACATTCATTAACTTTGTGTTTTCCAAATCAATTGAAGTAGACTTTCTTCTGTTTGATGATCGATATTCTCTTCACAGAATTTTCCAGCTTGTTAGTCTTTTTTATAGATTGACCCAGCAACAAAGTTAGCTGTTGGAATGAATTCCTGGGTTTCCTGTTTTGATTACATTGCCTGTCCAGCATCTTGAACACATAGCTCCTTCTTAATGGCTCTCCTCAGTGAATTCAATTCCCGTTGATCATCTCCTTTGTCCCGGGTAATGTTCTTCCGAATATCTGCTGGTAATTTGTTGTATATCATTGGAGTTAAAATTGTTCCATAGGTGGTTTCATCAATTCCATAGAGATTCCTCTAGAGCATCTTCTAATGCAAAACTCCATTTTGTCGCAGAAGTTTCCCAAACTATCAGGATTAGACTTGAGATATGGTAAGTCAATTAAACTCTGGATATGGGAATTAATGATTTTGTCCATACATGTATCTCTCGAATAAAACATCTATTGCTTGTCTATAGTTGGTATTAGTCGAACTAAATCCTGATACAATGAGAGTGCTTCCCCACATCACAGCGATCGAAGATAGCTAAATTTTTCTTCATCACATAAACTGTTGTTCCCATGGATACTTGTGTCAAAACAATCCCAAAATGTTTGCCATTCAAGTCGGTCTCCAGAAAAAAGAATTGGCAGGTTTAGGTTTGGCAATTTATGATTATGAGTCTAAGGGTTTCCTATGCTAATTTCTAATGAATCATTGCTTGGAATGAACTGCGGTGCATTTACATTGAAATTCATGGACGAGATTGATGAAAATTCTCAGAAGCCTTGTTAGATGAAGCATTCTTTGTGAATTCTGCTAATTTTAGTCTTAAATCTAACATGTACTCATCTGAATCTTTGATCTCCGTTTGATTCCCCTCTTAGTTCACTAATTCTTGTAGAATCTCGCTAATGATTTTCTTTAATATGTCCTACTTCTCCTCCAGTACCTTGATCATTTCAGCTTTCCCATTTTCATCTTCATTCTCAGAAATTCTCAAAAGTCTTGTAATTAGTCCATGATATCCTGAATGCATGGCCTTCAATTTGGATACATCCATTTTGCATATGAACTGTAATCCTGGTCACGGCACCAATGTCGAGATTGTAAAGTGTTTAGTTACTTTGAGTCAGATAAAATGAAAACACATCTAAACATTTTGACGGAAGTTTCAAAGTGCGAGGATCCACGCTGCAAACCCAACCGGCCAATCCATGAGATTTAAAAATGGAATGAAATTCAACGTAAAATCCTCTATGACATGTAAATCTAAAAACCTTATATATTGTATGATGTGCCCTTCATTATATAGTACAAACAAGAACCAAATAAGCCGAACCTGTTCGTTTGCATAAGCAACAGATTAAAGACCCAACCATAAGAAACACGCCATGTTGTGAACACTTGAATGAAATATGGAGATAACGAACAGTATTCAAGCTCAAAGTCCATTAAAACAATACAAATCGGGAGAGCAAACACGGACCTCCAAAAACAGAGTTGGGATCAGGTGCCATCCTGCAGTAAGCGCAATTTTTGTATATTCCCTTTTAACAAAGTAAAGAGGAAAATGAACAATTACGGAAAGCCAAAGAGCATTACTTAGTATTTCATAAAACTGCTTAAACTAAAACTAAACTGTTAAAATAATTTTATTTCAAATTATTTTACTATGTACATTTTACATAGAATGTCTACATTACTGTGCATAAATAATAGGCGCTAAATCTGTAAATCACTTTATCCTGCCTCTGATAAAAATCTTTAAATTTCATTGGTCGATAAGAATACTGTATTGAACCATATTACGCTACCTACCAACATTATATTGTTAATATGCCCTCTCCACGTTACCTATTCAACACACATCAAATCAATATGCCTCCTCCACTTGCCATACTGTCAGATCATACTCAATGTGTTGTCTACATAACTAATATTATCTCGCTTCAGACAAAGAGCTAAAGCCACGAACCATCATATTTGGCCCTGTGTTTTTCACAAAAATAAAGTTTCGATTCAAGAAGAGTACTATACGTTAAATATTAGAGGACAACATTTTTCTTTTCCATACATAACTTATATTGTTATATAATGCGCCATTAAACACGTGCGACGGTTGGAAAATGCGACGGTTTCATAAAAACGTTAAAAATGCCGTTTTTTCGACAGATTTTCCCAAAGTTGGATGTGGCCACAGTCAAGAACAACTTTTATACTTCCCATAGATATAGATATTACCGATACAAATCTTTATGTTTAATATCGTTGTTGTTCGTGGCTGTGGCCAATATGAAATTTGATTTTATATTTAAATTTTGATGGATCAAATAATCCTTAATTTGTAGATCAATCGTTTACATTCATTCATGTAATAATAAAAAAAAATATAAATTTCACAAAATATCCTAGAAAATCAGTAAATTGTTCATTTAAAACGCTAAATGTGAAAAATAGTCAACTACATACATTTTCTGAAATAAATGTCTGGAAAAACTTTGTGGTTTTTACTATGACTAGGTCATTATGTATGACGTTACTAGTGATACGTCAGTTGTGACGTCATAAAGGCTGTAAATTATTTGGGATGTTGCTGAAAAGTTTTTAACGCTCTAGATAGTGCCCCTACATGTATTTACATGTATATGATTTAATTACATGTAAACCCAACTGGATGATACCATCAAATTGTAAGTTTTTAGAAATTCCCGCCACGGTGTCTTTCTTTACTAACCCCCCCCCCTCCCTGAAATAATTCAAAATACTGTTGTTGATAGTGTTAACAGGCATGACTTAAATTGTAAACAAATTAATAGAGAGTGTAGCAAAGATATCACGCTAGACCTTTTTAAACAAGCGAAATAATAATGGGTTGCTGTCTAAAGTGAAAATTAAAAAAAGGAATGAAAAAAATACGCATTAAGATAATCATCTGCATTTCCGCACCGAAATCCACCATCTTTATGTACATGCAGAAGAGTCATCTCAATGGATTTACAAAATTCAATCGTATCGATGGCTTATACATGCTGATACAAAATAATGCATAGTTATAGTATACAGTTATGTGATCACCGATATCGGGTTTCGTTAAAACACTTGCACATGACGATCCCGCGCCCGTGATCAAAAACAAAAGAATATATCGGTATATTTTTAATATGTCTGTATTTTTATTAAAATCGAAGTGAGGCTATTGATGCATATATACATATAACATATACCCGATCTTGTCATCCTTTGTGAAACATAATTCAAATATACCCCCAGTGAGCAAAATTGCATTAAATGCATGTCGTATGTCTTAGACATCAGTATAAAATGTTTATGCATTTTTTGTACTGTGCTTCAAATATTTCATTGTAACTAACACAATTTAAATAAGTATAGTTATGCTTCAGATCGTCAGTCAGTGAAAGGGTAGTGATTATATGTCTATTTAGACAAAACATAAATTAAATAAATAAGTACACTACATATAATTTACCCAAAATAAACTCTTCATTGCGACTTTATTAGTATACGGTTTTATCTAAGAATTCAGCGATGTGAAAACACATGGAGAGAGAGAGAGATATCTTAGAATGTGTTTTAAATAACAAGTCAATAAAGCGGGAATATGTTCTTTAAAACGTATGGCCGTAAGTTGTTTATAGCTAGATTTTTTTAAACCCAACGAAGTAGATTTTTTTTGGATAATAATTCTTACTCTTTTTTAGAGTCTTTTTTCAGCCTATTCTGGTTAGTACACTTGTACCTCCTCCCTCAGTATAAACTATTAGGATCATGATATGTAGAATGGTAGATCCAAGACTTCCAGCTGAGATTGAAACAAAAGAGGGGGGGGGTGTTACAAACTAATGGCAACAAAATTTTCATCTAATGTAGTTATTTTCATTTTATTCTCTTAAGTTGTCTTGAATTTAACTTTCTTTATTGTTAATTAATAGAAATCAATCTAGAAATTGAAAATTGTTAAAGACTTTCCTACTCCTCTTATTTTTTCCTCAATGAGAAGGGGGGGGGGATTGGTTTGGCGGCGCCTTTTTTCACGAAAAAAAAATCATAAAGAAAATTGAAAAAAATATGTACGGACAACTCTTATTGCTTCTCTGAGTAAAACCTTTTTAAGCAAGCTTTTGTTGATTAAAATCAATCTTGTGCTGATTGTGAGACAATAAAACAAGGATAAATGAACACCTGTACATGTATTTCAATTATGGTACTGACCCACATATCAGCAATATCAGTGTAGCTCTACTCTTTTTATAAACCATAAAAACCATAATGTGCAAATGAAATCGAAAGTGCAAAAAAATGGGGGGGGGAGGGGTTCCAGCAAATACTGTTAAATATATAATAATGGACAGTGACGAGTGATTTTTTAACAAATTTAGTTTTCTTAAGAATATTTTTTGAAGTGTACTCTACTGTATTCCATATTACTCCAAAGAAATTTACATTTAGGGCTAGAATGTTTTGATGAGTTCTGTTTACTAATTAAACCATTCTGATAAATTGCGAAATCCCTTTCCAATTAATCTAAAATTTTCCCTGTTTCTGTATCGAAAACAACGTTCAAATTATTGTTACAAATGAATGAATGGATTAGAAACAATTTCTTCCAACTTTTTCCTTCTTCCTCTTGTCCAAATAATTTAGATCTTTTATACGTTAAAATACTCGTATTATCAGGATCTAAGAATTTTGCATTGAAAGTCTCTTTCAATTTAAACAAAACTTTCTGCATTTAAACTTTTACCTAGTTATAGAATTAGCTCTTCAGTTCAGAAACATTCGTTTCAAGATCATTTCAGGTATGTTGTCAATTATTTTTTTCCCGACTGCCCCCTTCCCAACTTTGAAAAACGATACTACGTGCCTGGACGCACATGCCAAAGATCAGCTTAATATCTGCTGGCCTGAAGGGAAAAATCCGGAAAAGTTAGTTGGTCAGACTATCGGCAATTGAAGCATGTCGTATATTGTTTATGATGATCTATACACAATACTTAACTAGAAGCGAAGCATCGCTCAAAAATGTGTTGAAGGGATATAAATAGAATGTTCCTTTTTTTAATATTAGGGACCAGGTAGAATGAAAATATTCCAAGACAGGCACACAGATTATTATACTCCCGCTTGAAAAGTGGGGGTATATAGTGATGGGGGTGTCCTTTCCGTCCGTCTGTGGGGTACACATCTCTTATCCGCAACTCCTTCTATACCACTTAATAAAATTTAATGATATTTTCGCAGAATCTTTGTTAGATAGTGCCATTGTGCACCTCCTATTTCACTTTTTGATCGGACACATATTTCGGGTTTCCAATAGCAAAACATAGACACTGCCATTCTTTAAATAATATTTAGGGTACCCATCTCTTATCCGTAACTCCTCTTATACGCCTGAATAAATTAAAAAATGTGATTTAATGATACTTTCACGGAATCTTTTTTACATTGTGCACCTCCTATTTCACTTTTGATCAGACACATATTTCGGGTCTCCCATAGCAAAACATAGACTTTGCCATTATAAATATATGATAGGCGGGGTATCATTTTGTGAGCTCAGTGCTCACAGTACCTCTAGTTTTTACTTCATGTATCTATATAATTCAATCAATTAAACACGAGGTTACCATAAAGACGGCAAGTAAAATCAAGTTCCAAATTAATGCTTTTAATCTTCTTAAATTAATTATGATGTTTATTATATTATTAATACTAGTTTTAATTCAAAGTCACATATTCATACATGCAAAATCGATCAAGGAAATTTTTCCGCCCTAAGACGTTACGTTACAGAAAATGACGTTCTACTAGCATTTTTCTTTTAATACACCACCATACTTCAAACTCTCTTTTTCAAAAAATATAATCGATATCGAAAAAAGAAAAACGGCAAAGCAAAGCTAAAGGTCTTCACTATCAATTGACAAAAACCCGTTAATTTTTGACACAGGGCCATTTTTGATGGTTCGTGGCTCTTGCTCTTTGTAGATTACTGACTGGGTAAAAGCTAATCACATGGCCCCCTGAAATTTCCGAATTACG